TATGTAAGCTAATAAATGTTCTCGTTAATCTTATCTCGTCATTTGATTCGTTCACGGTTACAAGAAATCACCACATAGAGTCTCTCTCAAGTCTCCGTAGATATAACAAACACAGAAATAAATAACACAAAATAAATTGTAGCTATATGTCGATTCCGCGCGACACGTCCGAACGTGTAAGCCGAACAATAGTGTGGGGGGAGTGAGTAATCGAGAGTTGCGTGGAGCTCAAACAAAAGACGAATCGACGAGATTTGAAAATCGCGTAAGTCGAGGTATTACTGTATACCTGAAATGTCAGAATTTGGAGTGTCACAGCACTCTTTTGCGGTCCGACAGAAAAGTGGTGGATTTAAAGTTTTTTGGTTTATTAGTTTATTCTTCCGTAATTGTTTAAATTATCTTACTTTATATGGACTATGAAATTTCAATGTTAAGCAATGTTTCAATGAAATTAAAAGCTTGATAGCCATTTCAGTAGCTGTATAGAATCTTTTCATGCATCTAAAAGTACGTGGGGGAGACTTCCAAAACACCGGATTTTTTGTATAAAAACTTTATTTATTAACTTTTTTACAAAATTTCTTCAGTCACCTTCAAAGTACTCTCCATTAGATGTGATACACTTGTGAAATCTTTTCCCCCACTGTTTGAAGCATCTCTGGAACTCTTCAACCTTTGATATCGTCCAGTGCCCTTAGCGAAGCTGTTTTTATCGCCTCCAAATCATCAAATCGCTTCCCTTTTAGGTTTTTCTTCATTCTTGGAAACNCAATGTTAAGCAATGTTTCAATGAAATTAAAAGCTTGATAGCCATTTCAGTAGCTGTATAGAATCTTTTCATGCATCTAAAAGTACGTGGGGGAGACTTCCAAAAAACCGGATTTTTTGTATAAAAACTTTATTTATTAACTTTTTTACAAAATTTCTTCAGTCACCTTCAAAGTACTCTCCATTAGATGTGATACACTTGTGAAATCTTTTCCCCCACTGTTTGAAGCATCTCTGGAACTCTTCAACCTTTGATATCGTCCAGTGCCCTTAGCGAAGCTGTTTTTATCGCCTCCAAATCATCAAATCGCTTCCCTTTTAGGTTTTTCTTCATTCTTGGAAACAGAAAAAAGTCGCACGTGGCTAGGTCTGGTGAATACGGAGGGTGGGGAACGACAGGCCAAATAGTGGGTCACTCGTAAGGTTGTATGTGCGGGGGCGTTGTCGTGATGAAGGAACCAGTCACCTGATCGCCAAAGTTCCAGGCGTTTCCTTTACACATCTTCTCGCAGACATCTTAACACTTTTTTGGCAGATTTTTTCAACGTTTTCATCGTTTTGAGATGTTGACGCCCAGGACGCCCAGAACTTCGCAGGCGGAACAAAATAACAGTAAGAGAAACACAACACTATGCTCAAACGTAAACCTACAAACTGACGCCGTTTGCACAGCTGTTTCGTGAAGGTCTTTACTAACCCCATGTAACGGGAGAACTCTACACTACGTCTACGAATGACAGCGCGCTGTCAGTTCGGTTTTTTGGGGTTTTTCCTCATATTCTAATTTGAGTTTTCTTGGATGTGGATTCCATCCTTCTGTTCAGATCTTTGTTAGCAGATATAGAATTAGGAAAACATGAAATAGGTCATATTAATTAATGTTTAATCTCAAAATATTGACTATTACATATACATATATGTGAGAACCGAGGGGGTTAGTTGTCCCCACTTACCGGCGGCTCTGTCAGAGGATGGCTTTATAGGAGGGCAAAATAAAATGAATGGGGAGGTTAATGGGTAAGTGGACAGGTTCCCAAATAAATACACGGGTTGAACAAGAATAACACATTTAATAAACAACTATAAAATTGTACATATCAAAGGCGAAAGTGAAGAGCTACAAAAATTCTATTCTACGTCGCGACAATGATTCGTCTTTCATATGGAACATCTAATCTCTAAGTTAAATTAAGAGACGAGAGAGATAGTATACAAAGAGATATAAAAAAAAAATACCTCTAAGATCCCGATCCGTAATATGGGTCGTTAGTAAAAACATTCCTGGATCGTCACGGCAGTTATAGCGAGGTAGCGACGGATAGGGTGGTGGTATGGGTCAGTAGATGTGGCAGTCGATGTCCTCCCTGGAGGTATCCGCTGTATGGACTGCATCCAAGCCCTCTTTATACTCTTTTTGAGGGGGTGAAAACTGTGACATCATTAATGATTTATACACACACCCGTTCGTGTGTTGATGTCTGGATCTAGCTAGTACGGACCACTGGCACAGAGAAGTTTGTTTAATTTATTGATATCAGTGTCTAGAGGATATGATTTTATAATATAAATTTCTATAGGTTTGACGGCTCTCATCCATAAATTAACATTCGTCTGACAATAATTTCTGTAAACTGGTCAACAATCTACATATTGTTTATATTAAACGTCGCGTTTGACTACGAACGAAGCGATTTATTGCTGTAACCACGTGTCACGTGCAACCAAAGAGGGGGTAAGGAACATCTCTTATTCCTGTCTTGTTGATATTAACGTCTATAGAATTACATTTAAACAAATGGAGGAGATTTCTTTTATTGATATACTAACGATTTTTTTCGAGGAGATCGTCTCGGTCATCGACCTTTTCACCTAATCACGAGGTTTATTAGAGGGGTGATACTGTTCTAAAACAAAAGGGTTTTGGACCTTCACATATATATATTCGATCTAGAACTTCTTTGATGGATGGATGGTCAAGCAAATAGAGTGTTAGCCTATTATTGTGGAAAACCCTAAAATAAATCCGGTCAGATTGAATATATAGTTACACAGAATTTTTAGGGGGATGGTCTGTCCCGGATATGTCGAGTCCCATCTCTTGTCAATCGCTCATCCTATTGTGGGCTTGCTGAACACACGAATGGCTTCATAAAAAAGGATCTTCTTAGGTCCACCATACAGTTTGTCCATGTGACCATAGTCTATGTAGGTACTAAGGTCTTTGTAGGTACGGTACATAGAGTGATTATCCGTTCCCTATGTATGGGGCAGTGAACCTCTCCCCATTTCTGTCCCTGGAATGTAGTCTTCTCCCCGTTTTTCATTTCCTTGTGGTTACTGTAATATTGTCAGTCACATTTTATTCTGCCAGAGACGTATCCAATGTCTTCGATAATTTTTTTCAACGAAGTAACCAATTTTTTGAGGAAATGTCAAAAAAGAATGAAATTTTAAAACAAAAAGAGTCATCATTTATTCTGACATCGTCACAATGCCGGGCTGCAAGTTTTCGTCAGTGTTCTTATTTTAATAGTGTCTTAGCAATAGACTCATGCCAGTCATCTAACTCCTTTTCAGGGAAAAATTTCGAATTGAAATAACATGACTTCCGTTCAAAAGAGAAAGTTTGTATATAGTTAATTAGGGCCTCTTGCCCATAAGCTTTACACATCTGGTCTCAACTTTCATTTAACTTCGTCTTCGAGATTAAGGAAGGACAGACTGACGGACGGACGACAGTGGGAAGTTATAAGTCTAACAATTTTTCAAATTATAGCCCAATAAAAAATATAGCTAAATTGCGCCAAAAGTAAACAGCTATAAACCTTATTGGAGGAGAGCTATTTGATTGAAGCAAACGAGCTCAATCAAAAATGTTTAGGTCTCAGTCAAGCATACAGTACCCATTTGACAATTTTATACTTGTAGGCTACTACTGTGTACCCTAAAAAGTGACGATTGACACTTGTTCCCGGATTTGCCGAAAAAATCTGGTTATTTTAAGTTTTTTTTCTTTTCTTTCTTATCTTATTAATATGGAGACTCTAGCGAGTCTAGCCTGTTGGCTTTTTCTCCGAATCAGTCCGCTTAGAAATTAGACAAAGCGGTTGGTGCGGTGAACAAAACGCTCCAAGATTTCGATATGTTGGCGAGGAAAAAAGTCGGTATGCGGCCAGTATATTGGAGTTAATTAACACTCCCATCGGCTCCTGGTGGAGACCTCTCATGGCACGTGACCTCATATGCCAGATGCGGGAATCGATCATCCTCAACTACACCGATACTTGATCTACCATTCTTCGGGGAAAAGGTCGCGACCATCTCCGACCTTTCGTCCCTTGGATATACCATCAAGCCTCGTCTCGCCACACAGAAACCCTATTGGTTAGACTTCAAACCGATACAGCCCGCTTGAACAACTTCCTCTATTCTCGACGCCAATGCGCCTCGCCAGATTGCCCCCACTGTGGCTCGCCAGAAACTTCCGTCCACTATTGGTTTGTCAGCCCGCAATACACACGGGTCCGCCAAGAGCTAGGCCGTCTCTTAACCTTGGATCTCACGATCGTTCGTACCTTAATTAAGACGGGCACTGAGATTAACTGCCAGTTGGATGCCGAGAGCCTCCGCTTCGAAGACACTACAGCTCGAGTGTAGCGACTAACTTCTTCTTCGATGTTGTTGATATGGAGATTATAGCTCTATAGGCTCTTTCTCCGACTAGACATATGTTTATGATCACTATGCGACCGAAGAGCCAGCCGTATCCGAACGGCCTATACGCGCGCGCGGGAAATAATGCCTTCCGGGAGGACTTTTATGGGGAACTGGCATCCTATTCAGTCGTTATTAGCAAGGAGAAAACCCGGAAAACTCCAAGCAGCCAGCCTGTCCGCGGCGCGAACCCACGACCGAACTTCCCAGTGTTTAGGGTCTAGTCACCGCTATTAGCGGCAACGGAGACCACTCGCCCACTAGCGACTAACTTTCCTTGATGGTTATTTTAACGCAATCTCGTGTTTTTTTTTTTCATTAGCGCCACTACAAAATGCGGCGGCAGCCGTAATTTTTTTTTAAAGCAAAAAGAGTAATAATAATAATCCAAAAATTAAATATATTATTTAACTAAAGCACTGTTATGAATTGTATTAATTTATATTAATTTTATCCATATAAAAATTGAAAGAAAAAAATAACCTCATAAAATATTTAAAATGGGTAGAGAGAAATTTTTAATTGCCGATAGAGGGCGTTTACTCCACGTGTTTACAGATAGTTGTTTTACTTTCTGGAAACTATAATTTATTATTATGGGTAAAAAAGATAAAAAGAAGGATAAGAAGAAAGGAAAAGGAGCAGAAAAAACCGCAATTAAAACTGAAAAGAAAGCTGCTCTTAAGTTAAAGAAAGAACTTGCTCTAAAAGGAGAGGTATGTAAAAAAACTATGGTCTATTAAATGTGTGATTATTTCTATATGTTATGTATATATATAAGTAAAATTAATGGTCAATGTTCAGATGCGTGCCACATCATGGCGGCACTTCCGTTTTTAGCCTCAAAACCGTACGCCTGTCGAGACGACGTGTCACGTGACGACGCGAGCGAAGGGCGCGCCGTGTCGCGTGACGACGCGAGCGCCTGAGCCTGCGGTTAAAGTCCAGATACTTACTGTCATGGCGGCTCATCGCCGATTCCAGCAAAGAGAAGCAAACAGTGGGGACGCACGTTCTAACCTAACCTAAACCTATTCTAATAAATTATCACAATTAGTACCGATTAAATTATTAGAATAGGTTAGGTTAGGTCAGAACGTGCGTCCCCACTGTTTGCTTTTGTTTGGTGGAATCAGCGCCGGCGCCATGACAGCCGCGGCGCAACAGCCGCCGACGCCCTTCGCTCGCGTCGTCACGTGACACGTCGTCTCGACAGGCGTACGGTTTTGAGGCTAAAAACGGAAGTGCCGCCATGATGTGGCACGCATCTGAACATTGACCNCTGCGCGACGTGTCATGTGACGACGCAAGCGCCTGCGCGTGTTCTGAGTGTGGTTTTTTGAAATTTTCGACCGGTTGCAACATCGGAGAATTAGACGGAATACATATAAAACACGCGACAGTAAATCATTCGAAAAACTTTGTGAATCCGTTGGACGGCGTGCATACGCAAAACATCGAAAGGATGTGGGGGACCTTCAAGAACAGAAAAAATCTGCCCCTACACTATACCGAGGAACTTCGAGATTCGTATCTGTACGCTTTTATGTACAAAAAGCATATGAAGTGGGAAAGTCTCAAGCCGGGTGATCGTTTCAGAATTTTCTGCGAACATTTAAGAAAAATGTATCCAGGAGCGGGCCGCGAGCCCGAATGGAAGGAGCCAGAAACCGTTCCGGCAGCCCCGGAAGCGATGCCGAAGAAGCAACCAAGCGGCGAGACGAGCAACAGCAGAAAGCGCGCCAGAGTCGGCGAATGACTGCGGACAAAGGTGAGTAAAAAAAACCTTTTTATTTTGTTATTTCGGTTAAAGTCCAGATACTTACTGTCATGGCGGCTCATCGCCGATTCCAGCAAAGAGAAGCAAACAGTGGGGACGCACGTTCTAACCTAACCTAAACCTATTCTAATAAATTATCACAATTAGTACCGATTAAATTATTAGAATAGGTTAGGTTAGGTCAGAACGTGCGTCCCCACTGTTTGCTTTTGTTTGGTGGAATCAGCGCCGGCGCCATGACAGCCGCCGGCGCTGCCGCGGCGCAACAGCCGCCGACGCCCTTCGCTCGCGTCGTCACGTGACACGTCGTCTCGACAGGCGTACGGTTTTGAGGCTAAAAACGGAAGTGCCGCCATGATGTGGCACGCATCTGAACATTGACCAAATTAATTAAATTATATACATTTAAGAAAACATAGTGTAAAATTCAAGTGTTTTCAGCTAATGATCATCAGATACAATTATTGGTAAAGATTTACAATCGTAAATTGTTACTTCTCTTGTTTAAACTATAAAAATTAAGCATAAAATTGCCACCACAATTACAATATTTAAATTTTTAATATAGTTAAAGATAAAACAGTTCTTCCTTTTTTAATCACAGTTGATGACAGTACAATCTTTTTTAGTCTTGTGTTGAATTGTTTTAAAAGATTTTTTTTAAAAATAGTGATTTTTAGGTAATTTGCAGAATATAATGCCATTTTGTCCCATCTTTAAAAGCATGCTCTCTTACATGTGTGGAAATATGGTAAATTCTTTTTGTAAAAATTAGTCTTTTGTTTTTGATCAGCAATATTAACAAAAATATTAAAATAATAATGAAAAAATAATCATTGAGTCTCAAAGTGAAAATTGAGAAAAAGAACAATTTCTATCTGGCATAGTATGAGCTAGGTATTTCTTGACTTTTGCCATTTACTGTATAATATGTAATTTAGATAGAATTAGTTAGCCTAATAAATAGGGTTGTAATAAATTGAAGGGCTTATCACATTAGGGGCTGACTGGAATAAATAGACTAGATTTTAATAAAAATAGCCTTTAATTAACCTCAATCAAATTTTAGTAGAAATGCATTTCGGGTACCAAGACTCTTCATCAGCTTACATACATACAGTATAAACACCAGTATCCATCAAGACCATCATAACATAAGTAGAAAACCAAGACAAAAACATTTTCTGAATATATAGAGTTCACTGTTTATATAATATAACTAATACCTTACAATATTCTAAAAACCAAAACAGTAGAAATGCATTTGGGTCTTGTTACCCGAAATGCATTTTTACTAAAATTTTATTGAGGTTAATTAAAGGCTGTTTTTAGTAAAATCTAGTCTATTTATTCCAGTCATCCCCTGATGTGATAAGTCCTTCAATTTATTACAACCCTATTTATTAAACTAACTACTTCAATCTAAATTAAAGTTGTAGGCTAGAAGCATTATTTAATATTATGGTATAATGTGTAAATGATTTTAAATCATTGTTCTTATATAAGTAATAAATTTATGTGGAATCTTGTATTGTGGTAAAGAAAACCTATATTGTATAGATAAAAAATAAATTTTGAAATGAGTACAGAATTAAAAATTATTTAATGTGGGAAGTATGTTAATGATTCATACAACTTTTTGTATGAAATATATAAAATCAATTATCTCATTAAAAAAATACATAAAAATTTGGAAGGATATGTTTTGTTATTGCATAAATATTCACCAACCTAACAAATTTTGACTTATACAGTTAAAAATTTTCTTAAATTTAAAATTAACAATGATTTATGTGCATTCTGTAAGAAAAACATTTTTTCATTAAAAAAAATCATCTGAATTATATTTCATAAATAACTTTTACTCCCTGTATAATATAGTGGAAAAAATTAGAGATGAAAATGGTCACATAACTATAATCTTAGTGGCGTAGCGTGGGTGTCAGCCGCCCGGGGTGGAGGAAAATTTCGTCTCCCCTTATTTAGGTATCTCAATTTAAAAGACTAAAATTCAGTTTCATCACAGAATAAGTAATGAAAAATTCCGTGCTAGTGTTGCCACCTTTTTAAAATAGCCATCCCGGATGGCAGGTGAGGTTTGTTTGAGTAGAAGTTCCTGATGCATGCATATGTCATTTTGCAATGCGAAGAATAATGTGCAGTGCATGCTGGTTCTAAATCAGTTACAGTTAGCGACTAGGGAGACTTGGGTAGGAGTAACGCAAGTGACCTAGCTGTATTGTATATTGGAGGTATATATATATATATACGAATAAATCGTACAAGCAAAGAAAAAAAAGAAAAAGAAAAAAAAGAAAGGAAAAAAAAAGGTCGACAGGTTGCGTACAATATCACTGGACGGCGAGTCAATTCCCGTACTATCCAGATGGATGGTAACACTATTCCATGCTAATTTCAATTAGTCCGAGTTGTAGGTGGACAAAAATATGAAATAAAATGGTTCAAATTCTTACAAGCTATTATTTATTGTGAAATTTTTCTGTCCCCTAAAAAGTGCCGCTTGGGGCGGGCCGCCTCTGCCACCCCCGCTACGCTACTGTATAATCTTTTGGTTTCTTGATTTGATTTGGTGTAAATAACCAATTTTGCAAGGTTTTTTGATTTTATGGGAACATGTAGCATGCTATTTTAATGTGTATAATAATAATAATAAACATAATAAATAATATTATTATTATTACTACTACTACTTGTATTATAAAATTGCATAAATTGTCACCCATACTATAAGTTAAAAATTCAAATTAGATTTGAAAAGTATAACTAAATCTTTATCATTTAAATATTCAACAGGATGATATTGAGCAATTAATAGCAAAATTTCAAGAAGATGATAAGAAACATCAAGAAGTTGTAGAAGAAAAATGTGGTCCTCCTACCTTGAGGTATTTGTTTTATTTAAATTTAAAGAAAATTGGAATTTTTACTTAAACAGTCAACATTTTTTTTTTGTTTTTATTGTTTATATGACTCATATGATTATATGTTCTTGTGATAAAATTTTTTTTATGGAAACAACAAATAAGCTGTTTCCATTTTAAGTTATGTATTGTTTATTATAATTTAATAAATTAAATGAGAAATGAATTACAAGTATCCCTCATATAACACAGTAATTACATTCCAAAAAAAGGGCATGTTATGTGAATCTGTGCTATATGAAACGAAGGACTAATGCAAAACATAGGGTTATGTTCCAGAAGTTAGTAACAAAAAATAATAGTATAATTTTGCTAAGAAAATTTGTTTATTAACCAATTGATAATTTATTTCCAATCAATAATTAACTAACAATCACAATTAAAAGTACTGTATTATACATTAATATTAATTTCAGTTAAATGAGGGTGGGTTTTTTTTTACAAAGTATCGTCGTCATCTCAGCTTTCTTGTTGATCTTGATCAGAAGTATCAGCAACATTTTCATATTTTTTATTTTTATCATAAAAAGTTTTTATGAATGACGAAATAAAAATAGGTTATTAATTTAAAATTTGTTCTAGTGGGTCGCATTTATTCAGTCAAGTACCAACTGACTTTTTTCCACAATTTGTGTTCAAATACTGAATTGTTAGAATACCAAGGTATTGCTGTATTTTGTTTGTCATTTTATGAATGATTGCTTACTTACAGTTTTAAAAAAAGTTTAAATAATATCACTTACTTAAAATGTTTAAACAAACTTTACTAAATACAAAGATTAATCTGTAAAAAGAAAACACAGTGACAGTCTTAAGGGCTGAAGTCTTGAAAACAACACGACAGTGACACCTAGTTGATAGGAAAGTTAGTGCAATTTTTTCTTCCTTGCTCTATTAGTTGTCATATAAGTAAACCTGATGAAAAGCACAAAACAATTTGAAGATTTTAATATTTTAAAATCTATGGGCAAATTTGAGACAACATGTGTATGTACTTGAATAAAGACAAATTTTTACCTTAAATACTCGAGCTATAAATCTGCTATTTTTAATAATTAATACTAAGTAATTTGCTACTAGAGGTAATATTAGGTGTCATCTCTTATCTAAATTAATAATTATAATTTAAATAATTTAGAATCATCTGGAAGAAAAGAACTGGCCCAGGATGGGGCTTGAACCCACAACCTCCACTTACTGTGTGATGCACTTGCCAGTAAAGTTATATCTAAATTTAAATACATCTGGAAGTGAAGGCTTGCTTGGGGTCTGGGTGGCACAACTGGCAAGTGCACACACAGCAAGCAGAGTTTGCAGGTTCAAGATCTGCCCGGGCCAGTTCTTTTCTTGTAGATGATTCTAAATTATTTAAATTATAATTATTTAATTTAGTTAAGAGNAAATTCCCCCGCGGGGGGAAAGGGAGAGGATTAAGGCTTAACCGGAAGTAAGAGATGGGGCCAAATTTCTATCTCTAGTTACAAATTACTTAGTATTAATTATTAAAAATAGCAGATTTGGCTGTGTGTGTGTGTATATATATATATGTGTGTGTATATACAGTATATATATGTACATAGCCAAACAATCACCTTACTTAAATACTTGAGCTATCAATCTGCTTTTTTAATAATATATATAGGACTTTGGGTTGTTTAATATACTTATAAAATAAATATCGAATAATGTGAATAATGAAGCTTACACTTAAAAATTGTGAAATTTTATATGGAATATTTCCAAAACCATGTTAATACAAAACTGGAAGTCATGTTGTACAGGAGATATCTCTATTTTTTAAATGGTGTTAAAGCAAAAATGTGTTGTATGAAGGATACCTGTATTTAATGTTCTAAATATTTATTTTATAGTGGAGCAGTTTTGCTTAGAGCTCTGTTAATATAATATTAATGTTTCATGACACCGTATATAAATAATAATTGAGTAAATTATTAGATTATTCGGAAAGTAATTTCTTTTTTTTTACCACTAGATGGATTAGTCGTATTTTTCTCGCCATTTTAATTCTAAACCGTATTATTATTATATATTTTGACAGCTAGCATTTTAAGGCTTATTTGTAAAAAATTTTGTTTGATTTTGTGCAATTGTTTATTTTTTGTGTCCCATCAAATATGGAAGATCGAAAGCAGCATTTTCGGCATATTTTGCTCTTTTATTACCGAAAAGGTAAGAATGCTGTTCAAGCGAGAAAAAAATTGTGTGACGTGTATGGAGAAGATGTATTGACAGAACGACAGTGCCAAAACTGGTTTACAAAATTTCGTTCTGGCAATTTCAATATTGAAGATGCACCACGTTCTGGATGGCCAGTTGAAGCCAATGAAAACAAAATAAAGGTACTGATTGAAGCAAACTGCCGAATAACAACACGTGAAATCACTAAGAGATTAAATTTGTCAAATTGAACTGTTTATGATTACTTGAAACAAATTGGTTTTGTTTCAAAGCTCGATATATGGGTTCCACATGTTCTTAAAGAGAGATGCTCTCTTTGATGGGATTTTAAGGAAATTTTTTTTTTGGAGCTTTTACCAGACAATTTAACAATTAATTCGAAATTGTACTGCCATCAAGTAAACAAATTGAGTAATATCATCAAACAGAAAAAGTGGCCAGAATTGATCAACAAAACAAGTGTAGTGTTTTACCACGATAATGTCAAATTTCACACAAGTTTGGTAACGTGTCATAAACTGTTATAACTTAGATGGGATGTGCTATCACACCAACCATACTTGCCAGATCAAGCACACTCAGATTATTACTTGTTCCGGTCTATACAAATTTTTTTAACTGTAAGACATTTACCTGAAATGACAACGTCAAAAATCACTTGAATCAGTTTTTTGTAAGCAACGATCAAAACTTTTATGAATGTGAAATCATGCTGCTACCAGAAACGATGACAAAGGTATTTGACCAAAATGGTTAATATATAATTCAATAAAATATTTATTTATTATAAAAATATTGTGTTTTTTTCCAAGGAAAACACAATATTTTTATAATTTGTTTTTTTCCGAACAACCCAATACATTGTCATAACATACAGTAATATATACATATATATATTAATCTACTACTTTTAAATGAAAATCAATTATAAATTATATGAAAATATGTCAATAAAACTTTTTATTTATATAAAAGTCTATAAAAATACAATATAATTTCCAAATAACAGACACCTTCGGGACTGAAAAGTTTGTTCATTAGTTAGAGGTGTTTGCTATTGAGAAGTACTGCACATGCTGGCTGCCATACTCTATTTTAATGCAGTCATCATATAGTAAAGAATACAATGGGATTATGAAAACATCAAATTTGCATTAGGAATGTAACAATACTGAACAGTATACGTATGTGTATAACTAGTTGTTACCCACGGCTTTGCCCGCGAGGATTTTGCAAGCAAACCTTATTTATATTCAGTATTTCAACAACCATAGTAATTGTTATTTAACACCTACCGCTGAGAATGATGAGAATTGCCGAGAATCAAACAAACTATTTTCTTTTTGATCAATTTTCTGGAACGTTTACAATCATTCTACAATCAAACCAATATGCAATAACAAATTCAAATTTAAAATGGTTCGAACAATTTTAAAATGGAAATAGATAAAAATATTTATAACAATGTCTGAAATGTTATCAATGAAGTACTCAATGAAGTCTAAACGTAGTTGAAAACAAAAAATCACATCTAAAATAGTACAGTAGAAGCCGTTCTTCCGGTTAAGCCTTAATTCTCTCCCTCTCCCCCTGTGGGGGGGGAGAGAGAGAATTAAGTTTTTATCTGCATTTTAGTAGGATATGCCATGTAGTAGGATATATCATGGGAATGCACACTAAGAAGGGATTTTTGGAAATTCCCCCGTGGGGGGAAAGGGAGAGGATTAAGGCTTAACCGGAAGAACAGCTTCTACTGTACTATTTTAAATGCTATTTTTTGTTTTTACGTTTAGTCTTCATTGAGTACTTGGGTGTATTAAATTGATAACATTTCAGACGTTGTTATAAATATTTTTATCTATTTCGATTTTAAAAATGTTCGAACCATTTTAAATTCGAATTTGTTATTGCATATTGGCTCGATTATAGAACAATTGTAAATGTTCAAGAAAATTGATCAAATTGAAATTGTTCATTTGATTCTATGCAATTCTCATCATTCTCAGTGGTAGGTGTTATATAACAATTACTATGGTTATTGAAATACTGAATATAAATTGGGTTTGCTTGCAAAATCCTTGCGGGCAAAGCCGCGGATAACAGCTAGTTAATACATATGATGAAAAGTGATGATTTACAACTTAACCAGATTAATCTTCTCTAACAGATAAAGAATGTTGTTCACAACCTGTCCCCCTCCCCTATTCCTATTTTTAATCAGTCTTTATTCTACTCCTGTGCTAAAAATTCATCGTCTGAAAGAGTATTTGAATCAATTCTTTGTTTTAGTTTTAAAATATTTTGTACATAATTGATTGTTTCAGAATATTGAAGATAGGAATCTGTGTTTTTGTAAGGTAGGTTATGGACGATGGCATTCGTTATTTAGTGTGTCTGCTATTTAGAGGTACTATTTGAAGGTCTGGGAATTGTAAAAATGTCTGCTAAATAGAGGTGTCTGCTACTTGGGAGTGTTTATTAATGAAGGTTTCACTGTATTTAATAACTAATTCAGGTAGAAACAAAAAAGCAATATTAAAAATAGAAATCTTAGCTAATTAAAACTTATTACAATACATGCACGAGTTTCAAAATATAGCATAAATGTTCTGATTATTTTTTCCTGTAACAACATCAACAATTTTTAAATGCAAATATGCAAAATAAAGTTTTAGCTGTTGTTTAACTATATTTATGAATTATATTAATAAAAAATACTTAAAATGTAACAAAAGCTTTAACAAACAAACTCAAGATTTGTACTAAATGTCTGAATATTTCATTTAGAGAAAGCTCATTTGTCTTATCTATATCATCTATAAGTCATCTCATAATTTTCTCTTCTTTCATTAGAAATGTGATATAGATACTGGATTGCATACAACATTTAATTTGTTTCCTTTCTCAGAAATAGATAATGTCAACTATAGAGACAAGAATTATCGTACAGTGATCAAAATGATTATTGTAACATTTAACAACTTTGTTTTTTCTCTTGATGCCATGCTTTTATGAGAACCTCATATATTTTCAGGCCATTTGTGAAGTTAATAAGCATTAAATTTTACTAATGATGGCAGTTTCCCAAAAATAGGGAGTATGTAGACAATATTTATATCTAACATCTTTGTGTGTTTTTCAAGTTCATTAATAACTTTTATTTGATGTTGATATGTGCTTCTTGTCCTTAATTACTTATGTTTGTGTCTACTTTGGACATTGTGAACTAGGACTTGTTATACTGAGAGAAGAGAAAAACACTATTTCCAATTAAGATGTAACAATATTGTGTTACAATAAATATATCTTCATTGGAAATAGTGTTTTTCTCTTCCCTCAGTATAACAAGTCCTAGTTTACAAGAATGTCCAAAGTGGACAGAAGCCTAATATAAAACTTTTATTTGATATTTGAACAAACTTAATTGTATAATTTAAAAAGCATACAGCCATAGTTTATTTAGAAATATTTAAATTATTCGATTTTAAAATAAGAAGTTGAATTTTTATTTTTATTTTGAATAATTTTATTGTGTTAATATAACTAAATACTAAGTTTATATTGATGACAAGATTACAGTTTATCCTTAGATCAAATTTCTAGAGTAATGAATTTTACCATTCAGCAGTAACTAATTTAATTAGACATAAATAAATTACATAAAATTATATTATTATTTATAATTCTGTTTATTAACAGAAGCAGTTTGTCTGTTCTCCCACATCCAGAAAAAGATGAATTATTATTTTTTGGTGGAGAATATTTCAATGGTAGCAAGGTAAATATATTTCAATGATAATAGGGAAATTTTCAAAATTGGAGCAAGGTTCAAATTTTTGTTTTGCTCTTTATTTTGGAGTTAAAAAAAATTTATTGTGTAGAATTTTGAAAACAATATCACATTAATCTTTGAATCACTTTTACAATATTAAATATAAAAACATAATTCAATAAATTCACAAAAATTATTATTATTAATATAAGCTAGCAGATACATTTGCCTGAAGCAAATAAATACAGCAACAAGTGGAAATTAGGTTTTCCTACAAAAATTATGCAAATTCATTAGCTCAAGAATAAATTTTTGTAGAAATTTTTATCTTTTTAGATTCAAACAATTTTTTGACAAGACTATGTCTTGTTTATAAAATCATACTGCCCAATGTTCTTACCAGCATAGAGGCATGAAGGAGTATATATGTCGAGAGTTGATATTTGGCACAGAGTATTAGATGCCCAAATCATTTGCGCATAAAAAAATCCAGATTCGTAGGTAGTCAGGGGACTGAGAATTGAGTCAAAATAAAATACAAAATAGCGACCCTCTTCTACAAACAGGCAAAACAGCCACATCACCCCACCAAAGTCAGGTAGGGGAGAGTACTACCCACAGTCATTCTAAGAAGTGAACTCTGACCTTAGGACTGAAAATGTAGTTTCTTCTATGTTAAATAAAATTTGTAATTTAATTTTGTAAATTTGGGAGTGCTTCAAATATGACGTTAAACTGGTTTTATGTCGTTACAAGTGGGTTTTTTTAACATTATCTATAATAGTATAGTAAAATCGTGAGACTGATAAAAATTTGACGTTATATTAGGGTTGTCATTACATTCAATGACGTTATAATCAGGTTAAACTGTATATTGTTTGTGCAAAATAAAAAAATAATTTTGGACTATACAATAGCCATGATTATTTTTTTCAAAAACGGGAAATTTTTGTTACACATCGACAAAAATTCAACCCGGGCCAACATGCAACAGAGAGAAATTTCAAAATTGGATAGGTTAATTTCATTGAAAATGCATCATGGCCAGCGAAGTTTGAAGGATTGCACCCAAAAGCAGTGATACCAAAGAAGATTGGAGAATGAGAATGAGACCCGCCTTGAGCGTCAAAGTGCTTCCGTTTAGTAGTGAGTCTCCGAGACATAGTCTTGTCCCAGATACGGTTTTGCCGTTTTGCTTGTTTTAATTTAAAAAATTTCAAACTTCTGTATTAAATTTTTTCTTTAGCATTGTTTTATTATTTGATTAAAATACATTAACTGTTTTTGATTTTGATGATTTAAATATTAAAAGAATAAAAATTGTTTTTTAATGAATACACAATAAAATATTTACTTATGGCTGATCTCCTCTTAAAATTAGAGGCCATTTTTATCTTTTTAGTTTTGAATAAAACTGTCTGTATTAAATTAAATTCATTTGTATATATTATATCAAAATTATATGAACTAAATAATTCTGCTATAAAATGAGAATGATGATGTTCATAATATTTTCTTATTACTTTTTATTGTATAAAAAATTAATCCTTTTTTATAACAAAAAAGAAATTAAAGATATTACTTAAGTAAAAAGTTGCATTTTGCTATTTTATAAATTGAAAACATCAAAACTTGTAAAAATTATTTTAATGAGAAGATATCTGAATCAAATTTAGGGCTTTTATATGAAAAATTATAAACAGTAAAATTCATTTTAACAAAATTACAACATTTTTACATTAAAATATATTTATAGTTTTCTGAATATGCTTGAAGTTGCTGTTTAATATTGCTAGAATTTAATAATTATTTTCCATTTAATAAAATTCAACTTGATTAGAAATATTTATATTCTTATTAAAAATAAAAACATTTTATAAAATGAAATTTAAGTTAATTTTATCCAGTAAAAACATTAAATATTTATAAGTTTTTTCATTTCTAATAAAATTTTATACTTTTTGTTTTAATTGAATAAAATTTAACTTTGAAGGAATTAATTTGATAATATGTAATTTCTTTAATTTTATTTAATTATACATTATTTTTCAATAAAAAGTTTTAACATGTTTAAAAAATAAATTATAAAAATAATATAATTCTTTTTATTATAGACATTCATGTATAATGAGTTTTATATTTATAATATAAAAAAGAACCAATGGAGTTTGTTGCATTGTCCAAATAGTCCGCCTCCTCGTTGTGCTCATCAGGTAATACAGATACGGCTTTATTAATAACAAACTATTTAATATAAAAGAAGTTATTATTTTATGACTATATATTTTTTATAAAAAATTTTATCACATTATGATATAATTTTAGTATATTGAGAAAGACTTCATTTTATTAATGATTATAAATTAATTTGATTAGGAAAAGTATTCAAAATTCTTCAGATATCATAAGATAAAAAAAATAAAATTCTGTATATAAATATTTTATATTTTGTCAACTTTATTTATTTGATGTATGTTATATAATGTATTAATCTGGAATTTTATGCTTTAACTATATTTTTAATTACTTATTGAGAACTGAAATACTATATACCATATCCAGAGGTTGCTTTGAAAATTTTTAAAAAGTTGCCAACCATTTTGCCAGTTTTAAATTTTTTTCACCACTCCAAATTATTCATCAACACCACTTACTAATTAATGCAGAGCCTTATCAGTTTGAAGTCTAGAAAGCAAAAGTAACATGTTAAGTTGTCATTTAGAAATGGGAATCATTTTTAAATGAATAATACAGAATATATTTGATCACAGTGCTTAAATAGTATTTCAAATATTCTGTCATGTTAAAATTTTCATGCTTTAGTCTACTGAACAAAGATCAAAGTGAAAAAAAAATGTCACTCCAAAAAATCTCCAATCTAGAAATGCCGGACAGCATTACACAAAAACTGTCTTTGGTTCTCAACATCACTACCTGCTTTCCTGTCCAAATTTTTTGTATTATGCCATAACATCACAAGGTGTGTTATGCACAGGTCTCTAATTTCCCATTAGTTTGGCATTCTGCTGTTTTTCCTGAAGTGTGCTTTGTGATTCAATTTCATTTTGAATGTCAAAATAAGCAGACTACCATTTTTATCACCACTTTAATAAAATATTGCTAAGTGATGATTTTGGTGCTATGCAGTGTGACACTTGCATATCTAAAAATTACCTATGTTATTTATTATCTCCATATTAGTTATTCAATATATATTTGATCCCTGTTTATGCATTTCTCAGTTGTACATTTTTTTGCAATTAAACATTAAATATTTTCATCTGAAAGAAATTTGTTCATTTGAAAAAGTTAAGACAGCAATTCATTAATCTTTCAGTGGGCCTTTTAGAGTTTCATGAAAAGACACATTGCAACTATTACATTATTTACACAATATTACTTCATATTTTCCAATATTTAATTTTATTGTGAAAATATGAATTAAAAAAGAGGGAATGAATCTTATAACTTTTTATTGAACAAAAGTGGTTATAAAGCATTTAGATAATTAAAAATAAGTCACTCCATCTCCATCTGTTACTCACCTTCACACATGGGCATATTTAGTGATTTATTTGATTTGTTTCAACAAGTACAAATAATGAAGCTCAAAGTTTTGATAACATCCTCCTCAGAAAGTATGTTTAAAAATAATCTAAATGAATACTTAGATTAAATACCTTTTATTTTTGTAGATTAAAATAATACAAATTTTAATAAAATTTCAGTATACAGATGCATGGATATGGATTTTGTTCTTCATTTTGTATACATATGAAAGGAAAAATACTCTTGCATATAATACAAATATTTTATTTATAATATATGTAAATAACATTTTCATTATTAAATAATGAAAATATATACAGTGGAACCTCGCTTAACGAGCAATTGACATAATGAACAAAACAAATTGTAAAAAAAACCGACTTGCTTAACAAGCAATGTTTCACATAATGAATGACAAGGAGAGGGGAAGTCCTGGATTGTGTGCATGCTCCATCAGTCTGTATTTATCACTCATTCTGCTAGCATCTTAGTGTCGCTTGTGATCACACATTTTTCCAAACTTGTGTTCACACATATTATGTGTAAACATCAATAACAATACCCCATTATATAATAAACAAGCCAAATGATATGCCAAATTCTTGGTCTATGTAATGACTATAATTAAATATTAGAAATTAATTAATTTGACTAGAGGTAGGCAGTTATGCTGCCATCTCGTATTCAATTTAATAACAGCCTACCTCTAGTCAAATTAATTAATTTCTAATAGAGAGATTTCAGCTGAAGTTTTTATCTCTAAAACGTGAACATTGAATGTTGAGTGCTGCCATCTTGTATGACTAAAAGTTTGACAATGGCATTTGGAACATTGAGCATGATTCCAATGACATTTCGTATGCCATTGTCAAACTTCTTGGCTTACAAGATGGCGGCACTTAACATTCAACATTCATGTTTTGGAGATGAAAACTTCGGCCGCAAACTCTAATATTTAATTATAGCCTTTAACCCAGTTTATTATTTGTGATTTTTTTTTTTTCCTGCAAATCGAATTCACATTCAGGTTGGTTCATTTTGTGCTAGAAGAAAAGACAAAGATGATTCACACTCCTTAACAATGTATATTGTATAATTTTCTTTGAATAAATGTTATACATAAAATATTTGAGGTTTTTTTAGGGAGGATGGAATGCATTATCATATTTTACATTTATTTAATGGGAAAAATTGTTTCACTTAATGAGTGTTTCTCATTATGAGTAAGATTCCAGAACAAATTATGCTTGTTAAGTGAGGTTCCACTGTATGTCAAAATATACAGAACATTTTAATACTTATATGATATACTTATTAAATGTGATAATTACATGTATATTTTAGGCTGTAGTTGTATCTCATGGTGGTGGACAAATATGGATATTTGGTGGAGAATTTGCAAGTCCAACTCGTTCGCAGTTTTATCATTATCGAGATTTATGGGTTTATCATTTGTCTCAAAGACGATGGGAACAGATTAAAGCAACTCATAGTCCTTCATCTCGTAGTGGTCATCGGATGATTGCACATAAGAAACAGCTGATTTTATTTGGTGGATTTCATGAAACTTATGGGTATTTTGTTAAATAAAATTTAAATTATAGAATATTAATTATATAAGTTTTTATAAGTAAATTTTCATCTTTCAGAATAAATTATAACTATATCCTGTTATACAAATCTATTGTATTCCTGAAAACAATTTAAATATTGGGAATTTTTCCACCATTTTTTATGGGGAAAATTTTAATTTATTTCCAGTTCCTTCAAATAACCAAATCAATTTCTCAAATGACACATTGTATATAAATAAAATAAAACATTGTCAAATACTTAACTATCAATCTATGGTTCTAGTATGATTTTAAACACTGAAAACTCCAATTATATTATTAATAAATACTTAATGAGGTCATTAAAGGATATTGCAAGTAATAACACAATAAATAAGTTTGAACTCTCCCCTAGTAGGAAATGTAAATTAAATTAATTAACTGTTTTCTTTAATATGAATAGACAGCAGTGAAAATGCAATAATTTCCATTGCTGTCTGACACATATCTGTATATTTTATATTATAATATCGTATAAAAACAGAACAACAATGAAAATAAACAAATAATGTAGAAAACTTACTATAATGAACTATTAAGAGTAAGTTTGTAAGGTTATACTTAAATTTTACAATAAAAATCATTAAAATTCTCAACTACATTATAACACAGAAACAAATAAAAACAGATGCTGGATATGGAGTTACATTGTACTTTCCAAAATTTTTCACAGATATGGTTTAAATAAATTCATAATAATAGGATTATTCAATTCAGATATTGTAATGGGTTGTGAGAATTTGGATATCAGACATAGTTGTATTTTGTTAAACTTGTTTTATTATAGTGACATTTTTAACATATAAAAATAATTTTATAAACACTTATACGATATTGAAACATAAAAAATAATAATCTTATTCATTGACATCATAGGTGTGTGCAAATAACAATCCAGATAAAATTTATTTTTATTACACTGACAATATACCGTTTATTTTAATATATTAACAAAATCAAATAACGTAAGAATTAAATTCCTCTTATTAATATAAATACTATTTATCAAAACATGTGTTTTAATTTGACCGTTGAAAATATAAAGGTTATATTTATTTTTTCAGGGATTGTAAATATTACAATGATGTATATGTGTTCAATTTAGAAAATTATCAATGGAAAAAAATTGAACCAGTTGGAAATGCACCTAGTCCAAGATCTGGTTGTCAAATGGCTGTTACTTCTGAAGGCAAAGTGGTGATTTATGGTGGTTATAGCCGACAAAAAGTTAAAAAAGAACTAGAACAAGGAACTATTCATACTGATATGTTTATTTTACAAACTGAAGGTATTTTCAAATTTTATTAATATATTAAAATTATTGTTATTTTCAATGTAATAATTATAAATATATGTTTGAATAAATTTTTATCAAATGTATTGCATTTTATTTTTAAAATTAATCATATAAATATGTTTATTAGTAAATAAAATACAGTCGACCCCCCCCTATAATTACGGTCCCTATAATTACGATTTCTATAAAACTGCGAAAAAAGGTAAAAAAAACTCCTATAATTACGTAAAACGTCATCGGGCAGCCGAACTACTTTCCCGCCGTCCATAGCGCCACGCTACGGAGAGATTTCTATCGTCTGGACAGTATTATATAAATTATATATAAATTAGGTACTGTACATATAATTATACATTAACTTATTGTAACTTTATTATAATTAAATATATAATTTCTGCCGTCTAGCGTGGCACCACGCTACGGAGATTTTACGCTAACTATCTGTACAGTATGTAAATTAGGTACCGTAAGTCTAATACAGTACTGTAATTTTATACATTTCTTGTGAAAGAAACATTTCTTATTCAATGGCGATTAAAATTATTTATATTAATGATGTCTCCAAAGTTCAACGAAGTTTCCGCAGAAAAATAAGTTGTTAGAAATCGGCCGCTATTTGCTGAGCTGTTCCGCGACGAAAACAAGCTTTAGCAATGGCGATGTCGAATAGTGTACACTCGGTAAGTAATCCTACAATTTTTTGTTTATAGCGTAGTTTATACGGATTATTTCCAAAAAATATATATGTATTTTGGAAATGTTGAGTCGGATTAGTCTAGAATCGATTAATTTTATGGAAGAAAACCTTTCAATCAGCCGTAGTCCGTAAACTTCACACATGTCGGGCTGTGATTGGAAGGACTTGTAAGAAATCGGATTCCTAACGAATGGAATGTATCTATGATCTTATAGGGGGGTCGACTGTATTTGTAGGGCTTAGGCTTATGCTGATGATATGTATTCCTGTCATTTGTGGCTTTTTCCGCGTGTTCCTGAGCTGTATTATGGGCTGAGGCCAACCTCGCTTTTAGTTCACTCGCATAATTTTCGCTTATGTCATATTGGGGTCTATTCGGTTCGGTAACGATGTCAAAGGGATAAGTCGGATTGCGTCCGTACAAAAGGAAAAAGGGGGTTTCATTCGTGCTCGAATGCACGGTAGTATTGTACGCGAAAAGAGCATAAGGGATCATTTCATCCCAATTGCGCTGATCCGCGTCAACATAATGTGTCAAAATATCTATTAATGTTTTATTTAGGCGTTCGACCATTCCGTTACATTGGGGGTGGTATGCTGTCGTAAGGAGCCTTTCTACGTGAAACAATTCGCAGACTTCCTTCATGACCTTGGACACAAAGTTGGATCCTCTATCCATAAGCAATTGTTTGGGGACTGAATGTCTTAGAATAATTTGTGTTACGAACGCTTTTGCCACGGTCTTGGCGGTAATGTCAGGTAACGGAATTGCCTCTGCCCATCTAGAGAAATGGTCGACAAAGACCAATAGGTATTTGTTTCCATTATGAGTAACAGGAAGTGGACCCTGAATGTCTAATGCAGTTCGCTCAAAAAGTCCTGATACCTTGGGAAACGTTTGCAAAGGGGCTTGATGACCATGCAGGGGTCTTCTCCTCATTGCGCATTCCTGACAGCTATCGCAGTAAAGCGTAATATGCTTGTTCATTTCGGGCCAGTAAAACTGTTTTTGTAATTTCTTCGCATCTTTTTAGCACCTAAATTTCCTGAGCTAGGAATGTCATGAAATAATTTTAAGATGTATTCTATCATTAATTGGGGAATTACTAATCTATCCCATATCTCATTCCTTTCCAGGATCGTTTCCTATTGTAAAGGGTTTGATCCGAGTCTAAATAAAAGTTTGCAGCATCTAAATTTCTTTCTTGGGAGGTCGGGTCTCCCATTAATTGTTTCCTGACTTTCTCACAAAAGGGGTCCTTCATCTGTTGTTCCTTTATTTGCACTTTACTATATATAGGTTGCATTTCGCAGATCTTTGCTACCGGCATTCGGCTTAGCGTGTCTGCATTTGTATGAGCTTTCCCTGGTTTGTGTATTATCTCAAATTGGTATTCCTGTAATGCTAAATTCCAACGACTGAGTCTCGAACTTTCATCCTTAACGTTTATGAGCCACCTAAGGGGTCTATGATCTGTAATAATTGTAAATTTCCTTCCATAAAGGTATGGTCTAAAATGTTTAATTGACCAAATCACGGCCAGACATTCCTTTTCTGTGGTACTATAATTCCTTTCTGTGGGCTTTAACAGTCTGCTAGCATATGCAACTGGGAGTTCTCCGCGTTCATCTTCCTGGGATAACACGGCACCTATCGCGGTGTTTGAGGCATCTGTCGCTAACACAAAGGGTCTGCCAAAGTCTGGGGATCTTAATAGGGGTGCTGTTATCAAAATTCCCTTTAATTTTTCGAACGCAGCTTTATGTTCCTCAGCCCAGTGGAACTTTACATCACTCTTTAGTAAGTCTGAAAGGGGTTTAGAAATTTTTGCATATTGCGAAATGTGACGTCTATAATATCCTGTCAAGCCCAGAAATGCTCTAACATTCTGAGGTTGGGAAAATCTCTCATTCTGAGGTTGGGAAAAGTTTCTAACGCCCTCTATCTTGGACAGGTATATTTTATGTCAGCAATTCATATTACAGTAGCTGTATTATAAAAGATGCATTGTTGCAAGTGTAACCATGGTTTTTTTTATACTTACAAAATTTTACAAGATATTATTTAATATTTAAGATTTGTAAATTTATAGACTTGGAATATCATGATAAAAAATGAGTTACATGTAAATCATAATATTAGATTTATCAAACAAATTTTAAAATTACATAAGCTATTTTATTTACAATTAGAATATTAATTATTATTTTTGTTTTTTTGCATTAAATAGGTAACTTCGTTAAAATATGGCACTGTGATATATATTAATAGTTAGACCATAAAGTTAACTTTAATTTGTTTTCTATTATTTTAATATCAAAGAATTTATAATACTTAATGATTTGATATTATTTATATAGTAAAGGATGGTTCCAATGAGAAATGGAAATGGATTCAAGTTAAGCAAAGTGGAATTAAACCTTCACCACGTTGTGGTTTTGCTTTTGCTTCTGCACCTGGAAATCGCTTATTTGCATTTGGAGGAGTGTATGATGAAGAAGAAAATGATGAAATGCTTGTAGGCAAGTTTTATAATGATTTATTTATGCTGGATTTGGAGAAAGGACGGTGGCTTCCAATAGAACTACATGGAAAGAAAGAATCTGAAAAGAAATCACGCCGTCGTCAAAAGGTTTCAGCTGGAGATGACGATACTGCAGATATTGAAAAAATTGAGAACTTAAATATTGAAGAAGAAAAATGTTCTGAAACAGTAAGTTTATTTTTAATAAAAGCAATGACTTTTTTGGAAAATTGTGTTGTATTGTGGCATGTTCTGATTTCTTGACAGTATTAAACGGAAACAAAATAAATTTTAACAAATTAAGAAATCTTACTGTATTTTTGCAGAATGACAGACATGCCAGTCTATCCAGGGAGAACATGAAATTAGATGTTTATGTATGGTAAAAACTGGCATGCTGATTTAAGTGAGGTTATAGACCCCTCTTTAGAGGGCACTTTAAAAAAACAAATGAGTTACATTGCGTAAAAATGAATGAGTTTTTATTCTAAAACTGTGAAACTGTCAGCACTACTTCAAAAACTACAATTGTAGGTTTAATTTCTTCATTTTTTCTTCTTTCTAAATATGTAAAATACTTTTGGAATTTCAAAACTGCTTTTTTTATGTGTATTTTATTATTATTCGATTCAAAAATGCAAAACTAAACACATTAAATTTAAGAAACACACTGTAAATTATCTCAGCTTACTACTACTACTAACTAATGTCAATAAGTCATTAATTGTTTTATTATCTTGTAAATGAAAATTTTCTTCCTGATTTTAAGTCAGTCAAATTACAATGCTATTTTATTGTACTTGGAAGAATGTTTTCTTTAATGTTTAATTAACAACTAGTTTTTGTTAGATCTGATTAATTTTATATTTTGGTCACAGTTTAACTGACATGCCTGTAACCCCAGGGTTGCCGGCATGCTGGTCTTGCCCGTTTATATTATGTGAAATAAATACCATACCGACATATGAATGTTTTTGAAGCTGAGATACTTCGTCTTCTTGGATTGTAAATTCAAAATTGGAATATGAAGGTTACTTAATTCAGTTATGTTCTTTTTATAAAATATGGAGGTAATGGATGGCCGCCATCGGTTAGACGAAACCAGGCCGCATTTCTCCATCCATTTACATCTCCACAAAGACTGTCTTTATCAGAAAGTTGTAAACGTGAATTAGTTAAGTCCACGACCACGTTTTAAAGTAAAACATCATTTATTTACAACAATCCTCAAGTACACTTGAAAGAGAGCTACACATGCTCATGGCAGCGATCAACCGACAAGAAGAAGAAACAATACCCAGAATTCTCTCTGGGAAAAACCCAGTCCCCGTTTTTCTATCCGGGATTCATGGGAAACTTGTAGAGGAGTGGCGCCATCTCACCAGTCCGTGATTTGTCGCCGCAAATATCATAATTTGCATATATAATAAATCTTTGGCAGTGTAGGGCATCGTTGATGTATGTGCATTATTTACATTTTTGAATAAGTGTTATAAAAATGTTCATCAAGAAGTCTATTGAAGACTTACAATAAGTAATAGAAGAAATGTATGCAACTGTAACTATTGTAGATTTTCAGCAAAAAAAAATCATGCTTAAATTTGGGGTTATTAAAGTGAGCATAATTTTTTGATATGCCCTGCAGTACATTACATTTAAGCTAGATTTGTAACTTATAAATAGTTGCTATAGCAGCTGCATAAAGTTTGAATATTATAGAACGGTTACTTTTAATCTAAGAATATTTCGAAAATGCTAATGTGAAATAAACTTTAACCCTCTAACTCTTCCCACACTGAGTGTGCTAAGAGTGCCTGCCATGTTTATTATGGGTTTGGTCAGATTTACAATAGAGATGGCGAGATGGCCTGATTGTCCAGAACAGACAGCCTCTGGAAAATTCCTAAGGTTGCTAACCTATACTTGTTCTCAACTTAACCTACTATAATGGAGTCTATGAGCAGCTTCTCATTGGTGGCATTATTGTTACTATATCACTCTTCTGGTTTCTATGAACATTGTGTTAAAGGCTTTTTCAACCATAATGTTATAGTGTTCCATTATTTCTAAAACTTGTTTATCAATGAAACAACAAAACACTATGCACATATGATTGAAAAAGCTATTAACACTAAATTTCCATGGAAACTGGTGGTGACAACATTGCCAGCAATAAGAAGGTGATCATAGACTATTGTGATAGGCGAAGTTGAGATCAAGTATAGATTCTTATTTCTGGTCTAAGCCATTGTTTATTTTGTTTCTGTTATTATGAAAGAGAAATAATTATTCCATATTTCTGTTGGTAAATTGTTATATAATCTAGCAATGCCCAAACTACAGCACCTGAACATATTTACCACATTACTTATAAATGAAAGAAATGGTCCTAATTTATGTGTATAAAAAAGTTGTTTTAGCCTGCCATTTGAAAAGTTTGTTTGCTTTTCATAGATTATATCAGTGATGCCCATTCTCTGTTTAAATTTCTTAAAATATTACTATTAATCAGATGTTTCAGTCTTGTAGTTGGCCTGAGCATTATTCTTTTCTTTAACTATTTGACATTTTATAACAGTAAAATTACCGAGTATTGAATTCCTTGAAACAAATATTTTTCTAAAATGACAGTTGTCTCAAATGTTTAAAATCAATTTATAATGAGGAAAATAAAACATATTTTTATAAATAGGCATTTTGCAAATATAAAACTGAAATAAAGATTACAAATAAGTAATCAATATTGTAGGAATGATTTTTTTTGGTTGATCTGACAATATAAAGAGCAGTGTATTGTGGCAGAATTTGCCATCTTGGCTTGCACTATTTCTTAAGTGTTTATACAGTATAAAGAAAACACATTTTATTGTAAAAAAAATATATTTTTATGTAAGGATTTGTGAGTATTTTTAAATTTTCCTCACAAGTTAAAAAAGGTAGTGTCAAAAGATGTCAGAATCTTTGGTCTTGAAAATTAAACAAGACCCTAACCTGCATGATTATGAATAATTTTTTTATAAATTCTGAAGAGTCACTTATGGTTTATTACTTGCAGAAACATTTTAAAATTGATTAAATTAAACTTATAATTGTTGGCATTAAGTGGATATACCATGGTTTTGGTCATTGATGTCTTGTTTTATCTTCTGTAAAAATTTAAGGAATAATCATCATAATTTTATAACAACATAATACAAAAATGTACAATTTGGTCAAAATTATTCATTTGTAATCTCCTTTTTTTTTTATTAGCAATCTGTATCAGATGATGGTGTTTTTACTGTCACTATTGGTGCTGCTAGTACTTCAAAACCTGATGATGATAAATTTGAGGAAGAAAATAATGAAGATTGTAAAAAACCATTTCTACCGTTACCTCGAATGAATGCTTGCTTAGTAGTGAAACATGGCATACTATATTTATTTGGAGGAATGTATGAAAGTGGAGATAAAAGAATTACTCTTGCTGATTTATATTCATTAGATATTCATAAATTGGATGAATGGCATACAATTATACCACCAAGCTTAACTCAGGAATGGTTGGACTCTGAATCTGAAGAATCAGAAAATGAAGGTGTTTGTGGGAAAGAAAGTGATGATGATGATGATGATGAAACTGGTGAATCAGAAGAATCAGGTAAAAAAAATTTTAATACTGTAGTTATAACAAACTAATCAATTGGAGAATATTTCAGATAGCATTAAGAATTCCAAATTTTGTTTCTTTCAAAAAAATTCAATTCAAATATTTGATTTTCATAAATTTATAGTCCAAATATTAATTAAAAGTAACTTTAATGAAAAGAAAAATGATATATTCAAACAAGCTCTAAAAGTTTTATTAATATTCAATAATCAACAAGAGTGAAATGAGCAAATTATTTTTATATGTATTTGTGAGATATGCAGTGGGTCAGGGGTTAATCTGGTACTGACCACTTAATCTGCACAGGCTGGTAAAGCCCGATCTCGGAGTCGTTCGGATGGCTAGGAGGGCAAATCGAGTGGGGAGTGCGTCGGTAAGTCGACAGGTTTCCTCAGATAGACAGGAGACAGGTTTAACAAATAACAAAATAAATGTTTATTCTATAACTAAAGTAATTTACAGGAGTATACAAGTTACTGATTATTGCCTATATGTGGATATACAAATATATCTATAATCGCTCTAACTATTAACTATGCCTCGTGAGAGAGTTTACAAAGGCTCTAGAGTGAGAGAGTTATATTGGCGGTCAATTATACCTTATGTTGGAGGATAGTATGCAACGATCATCCTGGACTATGGAAGCTGGCTTCTCCTCGGACAGGATCGGGACGGGAGACACTGTACTCAGACCTTCCTGATGATCTCGCGGAAGGACGGTCGCACTGAGGGGACGATCGCCCTGAACTTCCCATGACAATCGTTTTTATACAATCGTTGTTGGCACTGAGCCAACAGGTCGTTCACTCGTTATGCTGACTAATTATCACGCGCACGTTGACTAATTAACAAACGGACGATGTGTAAGATTCAACATCCGATCTATTTCCATTATAACATGTGATAAAATTTTCTCATCCTCTAATGTAAAAATGTATTAAACTCAAAAATTTACGCCCTGTAAACCCTCGGGCTCACATATTTCTTAGAATAAGAATGAAGCCAATGTGCTGGATCACTGTGCCACTGTAGCTAGGAAATTATCATATGCTATGATGATTGAATTTTTATTGTTTATAAACAGAAAATGTCACATGATCTCAAATTTCTTGTAAACTAGATTAAAACAGTTTGAACATATATGTGTATACAGTGGTGATATTCGAAATATTTAACAAAGGGTTTGCTAACAGAAAATTTTTCCTTAACAATTTTTTTCGCTCAAATGGTGCATTAGCAACATTAGCACAAAAACTGACCTTAAGATACCCATATAAATAAAAAAGATGCATTCACAAAATTAAGTCAGTTTATGTGAGAACTATATTTTTTTGATAAATAATAAAAAAAGTGTTCAAAATGGTTTATTTTGTACATATTTTAATATTTTTCATTCAAAATATTTTATAAACATAAAAATTGGCTTTTTCTCAAGAAAAAACTTTTCTAAATCATTTATTTTATCATTAGGTATTCATTCATTAGTTTAATTGTACATTTAAAACAAGGTACAAAGTCCTGCCCCGCAGTGAGCATTACAGGAGCATATCCGTTACATAGTTCCACCGAGTTACAATATGCACTAATGAACAAAGCAAAGTGAAAAGAAAAATTAAAAAAAATAAATAAATAAAAAATAAAAAAAATAAAAACACAATGACAATAAAAGACCCGAACAAAATATGCAGCGGCTTGCTGCAGCATATAACAGATTACTTATCTGCAGGAATATTTTCGCAAATGAAGGTAGCAGTAAATACAATAATTCTGACAAAGTGTATAACAGAATTTATCCCATGCAGAAAATTTGTAAGACAAAGATTTGAGAATCCCAAGAGTCCATATATAATATATGTACAAGTAAAAAAAAAACAAAGTCCACACAGCTAGTAATTGTAAGTATCAATTCCAACACTTTAAACCCAAAAACAGAGAAAGATGATGAAGCTTACATATTTCTTACAGTCAGCAAACACAAATGTATATAGAGAAGTGACGATCTGCTTGTATTAGTTGTTGTGCTAAGAAGCAGAGGTAGCACTATGAATTAAACAATTTGTGCCCTGTAAAGGATTCCATAATTATTAAGGTAAGTAGTCAGCTGTCTTAATATATAAGGCTTTTGCTTTAATGTAGAGTGGACACTCCTTATCCAATGTGTTATGTTCATGTTTATCTAGGCCACTCCTCAAACAATTAGCACATTTAGGCTTTTCACTTTTCTTTGTACATGTCTTAAACAAATGATCATCACCACAATGGCTACAAACTTTCTTCGGTGATGGACAACTTGCCGCCAAATGTCCAAAAGCAAGACATTTGTAGCACTGTCGTACAGGGAAAAAATCATAAACATTACACGTTTTCCACTGAACATAAAGATATCCTTGTTTTTTAGTCATTGCCCTAACCTCCGGTGACATCTCTAATATCCACGATAAAAACTCGTCATTTCTCTGTTTGATTGAAAATCGAATGTTTAAAACCTTTTTAAACTCCTCCATCGTGTACTTCTGTGAAAAAATATTCTGTTCAAGCAAGTATTCTATTAGGTCCTCTTTGGTAATTGAGTTCAGGACTGAAGTCACTTTCATAAGAAGAAGACACTGTCTTGCATTTCATGCATTTAATCCTTCTATTTTGTCTAATTGTTCCTGAAAGTATTCAGCCTCCTCTCTGATAGGAAAATCAACAGCAATTCCACCCTTGTTAATCTTACGAATACGCTTGATAGGCACCTTATGCGATCTTTGATCAAAAGAATTGGTGAGCAGTGTCTTAGTCTCTTCCGATGTGCTCTCTTTATTATCATTGTAAACTAGAACAGTGTATGTTGGTAACGAGGACTCCTTTCAGACTGTGTATTCTTCAAAGAATTAAGATCACGTTGTAAAATATCTCTATATGACAGAGCAGTAGTCCCTTGAGAACCTTCCACCCCTAAAAGTGGAGGTTTTTCTAAGTCACAAATCAGTCTGTTTCACTTCCTGAATAGCCTCTAAATTTTTGTTTGACATCCTCTTTCGTTGCCAACAAATCAAATTTCTGAAGCAGGAAATCTGATATGGAATTTTTCCTAATTACCTCTTCGGCACTCTTCACTAAGGTAATAAATTTATCTGTAATAAATCTAATATGTTCCTCGGTACCCAATTGCCCTTTTGGGTTATTACAGAAATATCTCTTTAAATCCTCAATGGCTTCCTCAGATTCCTCCAGAAATTCTTCAATAACCGTCACTGAGTATAATAACTTCTAAAATTAATAATTTCCAAAAAAAAAATAATATGAAGAAAGAACATATGACTTCCGGTAAAAATTCTGGAATCTTCTATGGTAAACATCATTGACCATTACTATGGCAACAGTTGTTGTAGAAGAATTTTGAAAATTTTCAAAAACTAATAACTTTGCGAAAAATTGTCGTAGGTTGAAAAACTTAACAGATTCTTAATCCACTCGGAAAATTCTATCCAGAAATATATAACACTTAGAGCTTAAAGTAAAAATTTCAGCAAAAACTCAATTCAAATACAGAGCAAAATTTTCCTGCATCCATTGACTAAGCCATTTAGCGCCTTCTCCTCTATCATTAGGTATTATTATAATAATAGATAGATATCATCGTCTCTCAAAATACAATATCTTTTTTATTTCGCTGTCGATAGCCAGACACATGTTCTGCAGCCATCTTGTATTTTCTCGCGCACGTGGGATTGTGGGATCTTTCGTATGACTGGACCTAGTTTCAAGAACTCACTTGAGTTGATCGCGAATGAACCTCGTTTCAGTCAAGATTTGAGACGGTCGATGGAGGTTGCACCAAGGCAAACGGGGTATAAGGCTCTAGTTTAGTAGTGTTACAGAGTACTGTATAATACGTATATTTTTTAAAAGAAACAAAACCACTGAGAAATGTTACGTGTGTTTAACGACGGGTTCGGAAAACTTTGAAAATGTTAACAACGGGTTCGGCCGAACCTGTGCGAACCTGCTGAATATCACCACTGTGTGTATACATATAATACATATATTATACGTGCCAATATTTTAGGCATGGACTTTAGGCTTATTTTTGACCCTACAATATTTTGTTTTCAACATATGGCCTGCCAAAGTACTAACATTAGAGTTGTACTAAATTATTTTTAAAAAGTTGACATTTATAATGCTTCTGTCAATGGACTAAGTTATGTAAATATTACCAAATAAGTTCTGCTTATAATAAATTTAAAAGAAGTCATATCCACTGTAAGATTTTGCATTATCCATTTTATGGTGAAAAGCAAAGGTTTTTTAATGTAAATTTACTTTGAACAGAATTTCATTATTTACAAACTTAGAATAGTTTACAAAAACTATTCTACATGTCTTCTGCAGATATGAACACATAATTGTATGCAATGAACCATCAACTAATGCATACCAGTTAATGTGTATTCAGAAAAACAGTTTTCAACATTTAAAATAAAAAGCTTCAGTTTATAAGTGTTGGTAACACGAGTGGAAACCAGTGGTATTTTTTTGGCATAAGGTTTAAAAATTGGTGTCTAATATGACTTTGGCAGACCATATCTCAAAAATGAATCAAATTTTGAAAAACCTTTATAAAGGATTTTAGGTGTATTTTTGACTATAGAATCTATCCCTAAAACATTTATTATAAATTATAACATACACTATTTCATAATGAACATCAGCTCCTTTCTTATTCAGGAAACAAACAATATAAAATTCATTCCCTACTACAGTATGGAATAAACTGAAAAAATTATCAAATTTTGCTTAATGCTGTTTTTCCAAAATATAAAATATTTAGATCTTACTTTCAAAGAATTTTATATTTTGAATCCTTACTGTATTGTTCAAATTCAACTAATTGGTTTATGTTCATTCTAAAAACTTTTGATTAACAAAGAAATGGTAGTTAAAATATTTGATCTCTCTCAATATATATTGTCTATTAAATTAGCTTTCTATTTGTAAAATATGTATTAACTTATCTGATTCAGTTCTCAATTTAATCTTATAAATATTTTTTTTTTATAATAGATATGGAGGTGTCTTAAGAAGATTTATTGAAGATTAGAAAGCATTGTATATATATGTATAATAAAATTCTCATTAACTTAAATTTGGACATATGTTTATTTCAAATATAATATCAACTTATACAATTCTGCATTGTATACATAAAATAATAATTTTCTAAAAATTGTTCTTGGACAATTTTTATCCATATAAGGAGAAATTAATTCTTGAGAGAATTAATTAGATAAATTTTAAAATTAAAGAAATTGATGATTATTTCTTTTTTGACACAAGATATCTCTACATAAAAATAGCTTGGATTATTTTGGTTTTGCAAATGGAAATGTAGGAGACCATAAAAAATATAAAATTTTGTAAATTTTGTACACAAGATTTATCATAAATTGTATGATCAAGTGAAAAAATAACATGTCAGTAATGCTGAACAGCAGTATCTATTTAAAAGATTAATAAATATTTGCTTGTACAGTATATGTGAAAAAATTGTAAACTATAGAAAATCTATTTACCTGGTTTTAATTGAACATTTTTGAAACAGATTATTGTTTTCAAATTCTAAACAATTTAATATATTGTTTTGCAATAATTAAATGTAAACTTTTAAAAATTACCTCCCATTAATTCCAAAACACCAGAATAAATGTAATTAATGAAAAGTATTATAAATATTTCAATGCAATGGTAATTTAAATAAAAACATGGTTTACTTTATAAATTATTACACATACAAGCCACACTTTAACCTGTGTCATTTAATATATTTTTGAATTCTGGAGAATTTTCCAATAATAATACAGCTTCCAGTAATGCCTTTTCTTCAGCTTCTGGAATATCATTCAATTCTACAAAAGTATCTTGAGCAAAAAATGCAGGTAATGTTTCAGGTGGTAATTTCCTAACTGATAGAAAAAGATTATGTAAAAAATAAAACAACAATGATCAATATTATTAAAAAAAATTTATTTTTACTTTTTGACCGAAACTGTTGACTTCTGCATTCAGGATCATAACATTTTTGATAATATGTGCCTTCTTTTAAACAGGCTATGAACCTAAATTAAGAAAAAATTAATGTAATATAAACAGTTTTCTTACATTGATATATAATTTAAAATATTTACTTAAACAGTTGCAATTAACTGATGTGTACTTCAAATTATCCTATTTATATTGTTTGTTACTTCAATTGATTGAATTTATAATTTCATTTTATCATAATAAACAGCAGTTTGAATACATAAAAAAAATTAGTTTCATTAAATTGAATATAATATACAGTACTAGGCCTACTATATATATTCAGTAGTTCACATTTTATACAAACTACAGTTTTATTTTAACTTTGTTAAATTTTAAAAATCTTGATTCATTTTAAATTAGTTAATTGCAACTGTACAATTAATCATTGGCTCTAAATAATGTAAATATACATTATATGATTGCTCTTATGATGGCGTCCAATATTTTCACAATATCTGTAGTTTCCTATATCATAAAGTACTCTTTCACTTTCTGGAAAATATGACCAATGACGAATATAGCCTGGTCTGGTTTTATTATTTTCTACAATGTTCCGAATGAAACTGTCGACTTCTGGATAAGGAGAATGTTGAAAGCCATGATGATGTTCTAAAAGAAAATTTATAAATTAATTTATTATTCAGTTAGACTAGGTACCTTCTATGATTAATTCCATTCCATTTTCTTAAAAAAAATATATAATTCACATTTACCATATTTTACATCATAGAAGACAACTTTTGCCCAAAAACAAAAAGGATAAAAATAAATGTCCATTGTCTTATTTAAAGTTGCAATCCCCCATGAACTAATATAAATTTCCTAAACCATTTTCAATAGGTTATAAATTGGACTAGAGTTGCACTAGGTAACTTCTACCTAGTCGAACTAATTAAACAATAACATTTTTAATTAAAAATTATTTTTTTTTTTTCTACAGCTTTTGCATGTATTTATGTTGAATATTTTAATTGTAAATGACTTTATATTTTTATCAGTAAAAAAGTTTATGTTCACTTTATTTAACTAGAATACAGTAAAAAAAATGTGGGGAATGCCAAAGACATAGGATAGTTTAAATACACTAAATACTTTTCCTAAATATTCTATGCTGAAATGGGGTACGTCTTATGTGACTGTGTGTCTAAAATATAGTAAATTATGAAAGTATCCATAGTAAAAGTGAACAAAAATTATATGCATTGTATGTTTTTGTATTGTTGAAATAATCTATTTACATATACATACAAGACAGTTGGTGACATAAATATCTGATGATAGTGTGTAATTATGGGAAATTCTCGTAAATTTGAAATTTATGGGATGAAATAATTGCAATTTCAAATTATGTAAGATTTACATATTTCTGTATATGCCAAATGCAACGTAGCCAATGTAATTTATTAAGCAAATGGAATTTGGATACTTATACAGAATGCTATTTTCATTAATTAATAATAATAACAATAACATAAATAAACTGCGTGTGACTGGTGAGAATCTCGCATGCCAAATGGTAAAGCAATTCTTTGAAATGCAGCCTAAAAAGTAATAAGTCATCCAAATCTAGAAGCCTAGAGTTCTACAAATATCTGAATCTGCTATTTTTAGTTCAATCTTGCAATCCTGAAAACCAGCTGTATTTTATGAAATAAGAAAAACAGGGTAGTCCAAGGGTAAGGTGACATCCAAAAATGTGTTTCTGTAAAAGCAGACACATTGACCAGAATAAAGTTGTTCTTGGTCTATTGTTATTTTATGGTATAGAGGCACTTCAATCTAAATGAATAAGTAAACATATGCATATCACAGTTTGGACAGAATTTCACTTCGAATTTTGAAGTAGCCATATTTCAAACTAACCAAATTCTTTAAAATGTAAATCCCTGTATCTCTGGCCGAGGCAAAAGAACGGTTACAAACTGACAGGATTTCAAATTAATGAGGATTTCCTGTATTAACATTTTAGAAAATAATGTAATTTTATCCACTTGGCTAATAGCAAGACAAGTATAGAAAGGAGTGAGCAAATTAAATCTTACAGAAATGGATGAACATTACATGAAACATTACATTGGAAACATCTGCATTAAACTACTTAAACCTATGGATATAACACTCAATTGGCTCTCAGCAAACTGAAAGAGTATTTATATCAATGAATAATTATTGCTTCTTTATCATCATATGAGCTGTTGATTTTGAAAGTGGGGCCAAATCCATTTTATGTTATTGATAGATATTTAATGGTTTTCTTTTGTGTAAATTTAATATGCAATAATGGTTATCCACATTAGGTGAAAAAAAATCATGGTTTTGGTATGCGCCAATGGACTTGCCTCACTTTCAAAAGCAATGATTTGTTGAAAACATCGCTTTTCTTTGAATGGAATATAGTTAAAATATTGAATTTTTTGTTGTTATATTTATTTATTTATTTTATTTCAACATTTCATACTTTTTTCAAAAAGCAACAATGAAACAAAAAATAAATTTAATTTTAGAGGAAAAAGTGGAGAAAATAATAAAAAATATTTAGTAAGAAGTTGTATGCATATAATTATATTTCTTAATTTAGATGGTGCAGATTTTTAAAGTATTCATGATAAGTGGGTGGCACTGTACGTACATAGGGTAATAAATCCATCATATCTTCATATTTTTCTTTAGACTGGACTTGCCTCACTTTCAAAATCAACTCAATGTAAATATTGAGTTGATTTTGACGATATAAATTATTATTAATATCAGTATAAATTTGTTACAAGATATTTATTGTGAATTGATTAAAAACATAAATTTTATTTTAATTTGCAATAAGAATTAGTTTTAACTATTTTTTTCAGAAAACGGACTTGCCCTACTTTCAAAATCAATGGCTCATATAATAAATTCTGCTTTTAATAATATTTTTTCCTAATAAATACTTGACATTTCTAAATAATTTTATTTAATAGCAAATGAAATCAATTAGCAATAAATTGAGAAGATTTAGATATAGGCCTAGATATCAATATTCATTCCTACTACTATTAAAATCAAATTTAAAATGGATAAATAAAGTTATTAAAAATTTGGCTTATATTTTAGCACATTGTTAAAAAATAATTTCTCTTATCACCCTATTTATTACGGGTTCTTAATACTGATCATATTAATCATTTAGGTTCCTATTTCCATAGCCATTTTCTAATAAATACAGTTATGGATAAAAAAAAATCATACAAAAAAAGGAATAATTCTTTTTTGTATGATTTTTAACTATCACATTTCTTTCTAGTGCCTTTTCCATACAAACATACAGTACAAAATTATCAAAATTTATTGTTCTGCTTTTATAAGTAATAATGCAATTCTGTTACAAAAATCATTTAGATCATTTTTAACAATATGCAATTTAAATAATAACAATCTGACAGACAGATTTTTTTATTTTGGTAAACACTGCCTGTAAAATTGGAGATTAATTTCCCAACTATGTTTAGGAAATTGTAACTGATATTGAAGTTGTGAAGTTTTGAAAGAAATAAAGAATCAGTTTTTTGGTGTTAAACACATTTAAGTTAATGTGTTTAACATAAAAAAACTGAATTTTTACCTTTCCATTGTTTATATATCCTTTAATCATCTTAAAAAATAATTGATCTAATTAAATTTTTAATAAAAAGTTATTTCTTATACCTGAAGAAACTATCATTTTAAAATCATCCTCATAAAATTCTTCAATTTTATTGATACATTTTACTACAGGTTCATCCCAACACAGCAATTCCATTTGTTCATTTAACCTAGCAAAAAAGTAATTTAATTGATATTGTAATATAATAAATATATATAAATAAATTCAGAATAAGTTATGACAATATTTATAAAACACAACAGAATTCATAAACAGATAAACAGTTCATTAATCTGGCACCTACAACTTTTTAAGAAAAGGTAAGTTTGGTTTCAGAAAATGTAAATTAATTTTTAGATAACGTTATCATCAATTTTAGCAATGATAATTTTTTAAACTGTAATTAATTAGCTTGTGAATAAAGTGTGCAGTTATTACATAAAACTTAACTGTAACATACTAAAAGTAAAGAAACAAATTAGCATTGCACAAAATCTTATTTTATTTAATTACAACAATGTAATTCCTGAAAATTGTGTCACTTCTGAATGATCAGATCAAATTTAAGATTTTTTTTTTGAAATCAACAAATCTGAATCTAGATGACAGTACTAATTTTGTTTCTTGCAATTATTTTTGGGGGTCATTGAGACTGACTTGTTTCTCTGAGAAGCTGTCCCATAGCCAGGAATAAATCATTGGGAAACTAGAGGGGAAACTGAAAACATTATGATCGCAACTTTCTTTTTTTTCTGCCAACACTAGGCCTATTAGCTAGAGGTTAAGTGTAAAAATAAATAACAATAGCCTAAGTTTACATAATGAAAATGAAAACACACATTATATATACTGCATATGGGCACTGCTGACTAAGCCAATGAGGTTAGGCATCTCATACCCCCTGTAATTAGGATCCATCCATTCAAAAGATACTTGGCATAGGAAATATATTGAGGTCTTTGCTTACAGAAAGGAAAGCCCTTTGATGGTTCACTCTCTACCAAAGCCTGTGATGATTTTGATGGTGATCCCAGACCAAAAAACATGAGAATCTTCCTTAGATTCTTAAGACTTTAGATTCATAATCAGGTTTGGCAACTAGACACTGAAGATTGATTAATAAACAATGGCCAAAAGCCCTATCAAGCAATGACAAGCATGGCTCTTATGGCCAATGCTTGTCATTGATTAACCAATATTGGCATTCTAATGATTGACAGTGCCTCAGTCAATATGCTTAACAGTTTGAAATTCAGGCCTTTTCTGAGACTTAGTAAGGGTTTTTTTTTAAGATTTTTGGTGGTTGCTCTGATTCTTCATCAGCAGCTTCAGGGTTAGACAAAAAGCTATCTGATACTGGCATACAGTCAATGGCTTCAGGGCTTAGTTGCAGGCATAATGCTGCTGGTTCAAAATCTGTGGCTTCTAGATCTAGTAGCAGACATGCTACTGCTGCTGATTCACAATTGGTTGCTTCCAGGCCTAATGGTAAGTCTATGCTGCAGGCTCAAAGTTGGCAGTTTCTGAGAGCAGTAAGCCCAGAAGAGTCAGATTGGGGCTCATCTAAGGTGACATTTTCCATTATCATTCATCCAACAAAAATCCACAAACTTGCATTTTTGTTAGAAAACAAATAAAGATATTTTCCGATTTAAATCTCTAGACAAGAAATTGGTATAAAGGTGTTATAGTTTTGTTTATATCTTACTGTCTTCCCTTCTCTTTAAGGCAAAAATAAATAAATAAATATTATATAAGAATCCCATCAACTATTGGGGCTATGTCCATGACCCCAAAACTCTTAAGGTTCTAGTGAGCTTTCTTCCTCTTCACCTATTTATTCAGACTGAACCAAAGTTCTGTCTGAATAAATATCTGTTACATCTGACCTTCTATAGCAGGGTGGCAAATCCTTTTGAGCCCACATGCCATGTAATAAGCATACTTAGCTTTAAAGATGTTTGTGTGTGCCAAAGTTTTAGCCTTTGAACAATAATATTATACAGTAGACCCCCCTATAACGCTTAGATACGTTCCACGCTAACCGAAAATTACGTTGTAGGAATGAGCCAATCGCAGCCCGATAGGTGGGAACTTTACGGACTAAGGCTGTTCGAAAGGTTTTCTTCTATAAAATTAACCGATTCTAGACTAATTCCACTCAACATTTCCAAAACACGTATAATTTTTTGGGAATAATCTGTATAAACTATGCTATAAACAAAAAATTGTAGGATTACTTACACCGTTCGACTACGCCGTTGCTTAAAGCTGGTTTTCATCGCGGAACAGCACGCGAAACGACGGCCGCAATTTCTGATAACGAATTTTTGGCGGAAAAATAACTTGACCTTTGGAGACATCATTAATATAAATAATTTTTATGGACGTTGAATAAGAAGTGTTTCTTTCACAAGAAATGTATAAAATTAGTGCTGTATTAGACTTACGGTACCTAATTTACATACTGTACAGACGATAATAAACTCAACTTACTAGCCTAAAATCTCCGTAGCGTGTTGCCAGGCGGCAGAAAGCATATATATAATTATAATAAAGTTACAATAAATTAAGTTAATATATAATTATATATACAGTACCTAATTTATATATAATTAATATATAATTACATAAACAGTACCTAATTTATATATAATACTAAACAGACGATAGCAAACTCAATTTAGCCGCTCCATAGTGTGGCGCAGGGTCGGAGGAAAGTAGTTCGGCTGCTCATCCACTATTGGTCCAGACTCTATCAATCTTGTCGCGAAACGACGTTATAAGAGGTACGTTATACGAAAGTTGCTACAATTTTTTCGCTACGTTATAGGAATTGTCGTTATAGGAACGTACGTTATAGGAACGTACGTTATAGGGGGGTCGACTGTATTTAAATAAATTAAACAAATATGCTTTAATTAGAATAAATGTAAAAATGCTGATTGAAAAAGACAGATGATAAATCAAAATCACATGATACATTATGTGCCAGATGATTTCTTCTATGTGCCATTTTGGGCATGAATGCCATAGGTTCACCACCCCTGCTCTATATGTTCAGGTGTAACAGACAACTTATTATCAGACCATGTTCTTTTGGTCATTTCTTTTTGCAGTGGGATATGCAAAGGTAACATTTTGTCAGATTTCATCAAAAAGATGCTAAAGGAAGACATCTTTCTGATGAAATCTGACAAAATATTACCTCAGTTTACATTTGATAAAAGTGACTTTGTCTCCTTTCTTTGTGACTTTAATTGGCGTATGAGAAAATCGACCTTTTGTTCATAAGACAATCTGGTTCACAGATGGATTCAAAACTACTACTAGCATGAGGGCTTGCATTTGTTGGAGATTTTCAGGCAGGAACTTCTTTATCCCTATAGGTAAGTTCTTCACTTTGTTTCAAGCTGAATTGCTAGCTATTATTTGATCAATTGTACTATTTTACATAGATGTCCTCTTAATAATGCTATCTATCAATGCATTGTTGTTAACAGTTGTTTGACTGTTAACAACAATGCATTGATAGATAACATACCGTATATTTCAACAACAGATAAGACGAGGTATAAATTTTCATCAACATTTTATAATTTTAGCATATATCTGTCCTATAACATGACCACCAAGCTATCAACAGCCATTGAATTTAGTTTAGATCAACAATCATCATCTAAATAATAATACTGTTTAAGAATTATGTCCTATTCATAATTTTTCGAATGAAAAAATTTTATTTTATTGCATCTGGCAGCACTGCCTTGCTACTGTTGCAAACATTTGCACTAATTTGGGCATTTGGGACCTTGACTATTCACAAAAACATTGTATGGGCTATTCTATTTTGTGGACATACCCTACTCTCTACTAGTAAATAATTATGGTTTGTCCATTTTTTTACAATGGTTTTAATTTATATAAATTGCAATCTAATTTTTTTTGTATCTGTCCTATAAGTCGACCCGGATTTCAGGGACTTTCTTTTATGATTCAACTATCATATTATCTGCACAAATATACGGTAATTGATTGCTTTGAAGACACTCGATTTTTGTAAGTTCACATCAACACTTGTCTGGGAGTGCTGTTTGCATCTTCAATGAATTGGCTTCCTGCAATAGAGTTTTTCTCATATGGGTGCTTTGACATGAACTGCTTTGAATTGCTGGCAACTTAAGTGCTATTCTACTGGCCAAGCATAGAGCATCTTTCTTTTTAATGGGTCTAAACTAGCTCTATATATTTCTTATAGAACTTTCCCTAGAGCTGTGGAAGACAGGATATTTTCTGGTCATTTGAAGTTACTTAAGGCAAAAATGCTTTACTCTGCTTTAGATCAAGAGGACATATCCTAATCTAAACTTTACTCTGCTTTAGATTAGGATGTGTCCACTTGGTCTAAAGCAGAGTAAACCATTTTTGCCCAGCTTGCTCTGTGCAAACTATGAATTTTCTGGTTTTGACAAGAATCATCTTTAGTTCTCGGTCAGCATTGTAACTGGTCACTTTTGTAAACATTATGCTGACTGAAATGTTCCTCCTCAGCCTTTTGCAGCTTCTGTCGCTCTGCTGAGAAGACTTCTCTGCATCTCATTTGTAAGTGTGCAAACCTTTGTGTTCATGTAGACTTACTCATTTGGGATCTTCCTTGTTGAGCTGTGGTGAAATCCCACAGCTTTCCTTTAGAGGTCTGCTGTCTGTAAAAAGATAAGTCTTCTGAAGTAATTTCTCATGTATCAGTTCACATCAGAATCTTTTAGATCAAAGTGGTTTGGATTCCCCACTTGTAGAATCTATAATTTACAATTTACTATCTTACTAGTTTCAAATAGTTGATTTGTATGGAAAACTTACTTGAAAATTTTAAACTGCAGAAATGGATTTAAAGATATGATATTAAAGTTAATATATGGAGAAAATATCCTAAATTCTGTTAAGTAAATTTTATTCTTTTTTTATTAAATTGCCTTCAAGTGTACTGTACATTAAAATCAGCATATCCTCATCCTATATTAAAGCTTGTTGATGATGACATTAATTCACAAAAAATCTACATTAAAATTACAGTATTTTACTACAAATATGAAAATATACTTAAAAAAATTCTTAAATTTTCTTATACTATTTCTTGATTTTTATAAAAAATTTTCAAACTTCTTTTCAAATATGTATTTCTTTTATAAACAACTAAATGCTTTTTAAAATTGTTACAGTTCTCTTTTCAATAATTGTTAGTAAACTCTCATCATCAATTATTATATACAGGTAAATAAATGAAACTAATATTATCTAACCTGAAATAAGTAATCAAAGAATCTAAGAAGATGTTTTCTTCAGTATCTCCTGTATCATTTTGAAAATTTTTATATTTATTCTCTTCTGACAAAATTAATGGAGCATTTTTATGAAATTTTGTTGATAAATAAAGCCTAAAATTTCTATTTTTTGAATAAACACCTGAAAAAATTTTTGCATAAACAGTTTATGAAATAATAATAATATTGATATTATTATAATTAGTATTAAAAATTTATACACACCTAAATCACAAAATAAAGTCTCTTTCCCATCTTTACCTTTTATTAAGAGTTTCAACAAATCAGATGATGATAAACTATTGTTAGAAGTATTTTCAGATGATATTTGATTCATTATATTTAAACAAACATAATTAACAAATTTACCTAAACAAAGATAATCATTTACAGTATTTTATTTTAAAACTACTTATTTTAAAATAAAGAATTTAACTTACCAGTTTCTATATTATTTTTAAAACAAAATCCATTTAAAACAAATATTAAATGACTGCTAAATTTGTTTTGTGTGCTGAAATATAAAATTATTATTATTACTACCACCACCACCACCAAAATAACTAAAATAGTGCCATTACAATTCATGAAAATAATGTTATTAGTGATATTTTGTTAAAACATTTCTCCACACTAAGAGCTGGCTTCTGTTAGAACACTAGATGGTAGTATTTCATGAAATTTTTTAATTTTTTTGATTTTATTACAGTAGAACGTCGATTTTCCGAAAGTCAATCATCCGAAAGAATTCCAGTCGGCAAACTTAAATTTTTGACAGTGCTGTGTCGCTTCAATCTTTGGCTATGTCTTGGGCTACTCAAATATTTTACGTTTTTGATACTAAATTAACTTCTGAAGTATAATTTTTTATTATTTTTATATTTTTCAATATATTTATTTTTTGTACAAAATAAAAAAATAATTTTTAACAATACAATAGTCTTTGTTAGGCTTAACATCGATGAAAATTCAACGCGAAGCAACACGCAACGGAGAAAAATTTCAGCATCGGATACGTTAAACTATTTTTTCGTACATAAATCAGTTATCCGGACAACCTCAGTCCCCAATTGATTCGGAAAATCAACGCTCTACTGTATTTTTTTATAGCTTAATTGGGAAAAGTTTTTCCCAGTTGGTAATATAGCCTATAAATAACAAAATTCATTTTCAGTCTTAACTGTCTTTTCAGTTGTTGCATTTTATCCCTAATCAGACATTCATGGTAAAAATCATCAGATTTTTTATGATTGAAATCAATTACACTAGTTTACAGCCATTTTACAACTATGAGAAAACACATGCTTTTTTTTAATCCCTTATGCACTGAACACAAAAATGAAGTGAAAAATTCCCTGGCATGTAAGATTTTTGAGCTGTAATCTTACAGATGCAAAGACTTAATGTTAAAATACAAATATGTAGAGACTTAAAACAGACTATCATCTTTTTTCTTCATTGCAGAATAATTTAAATGGCATAGAATTTCAATCTCTAGAAGGTATCAAAAATCACATCGATAATTTCTTCAATCAGAAACCCACACAATTCTACACAGACGGAATTATAAAACTACCCGTCAGGTGGTGTAAGGTTATCAAACAGAAGGGTGAATACATTGTGAATTAAAGGTTTTTATTTATTTCAAAATAGTATATTTTATTTCTTTCTAAAAACCAAACAAACTTTTAGTTCAACCCAATATTATGTATAATTATTTTTGAAATATGTATTGCAATTTTTTGATCATCCAATGGCTTTTTTTAGTGATGAATAATAATAAAGAATTTGATTTAATCTATATACCAGATATTCCATTATTATTATCTCTATATTTTAGTTTATAGAGTTGATCAAGTTATCTTGTAGTTGGACTATTCAAAAGTTTTCTGTTATAAAACTATAACTTAGTTTTATTAAAACTTGTGTAATAGTTTTTCTTTCAGGAAGCACACTATAACTCAAATTATCTCTGAGAAAATTATTTAGAGAAAATTCTTTCAAATTTGAAAAATTTTATTTTTACTTAATTTTTCTTTTCTTTTCTTTACACTTTTCATTTTCAGTATTATACCATTTGAAGGAATTAGTGCAACAGTGGTCTAATCTTTCCAACACTGAATTCTCAGATTCTTTCATTCTGAATTTCTTGATACAAACTATTACTTTCACTATAAATCTGGACCGAATCTTCATATTTAACATGATTTTTAGCAATCATATTTGTTGCAAACTTAATTCAGAAATGTTCAGAACTGATGCAATATTGGTCTAATCTTAAATTAGCAATAAAATAGCCATGTTAAGTTACGTGTAAAAGAATAAACATGGCTGACATGGAAGTGATTGCAAGTGTCTGAGTTGATAGTGAAAATAACAAATCAGACTTGTGGTAGAAAAACAAACAAGAAATGAAGTTCCATTTAATGTCACTGAAATGGAACAAACTAATTTTTTTAGTGCTAAATGATTGGTTTAGCACTAATAAAATTCTGTATAAAAATGGTAAAACTACAGAAGAATCTGTAGTTTTAGATGTATTTTCCATTCTTATACATTAAGGACTGATGAGGGGCAAATGGCCCAAATGCATTTTTTTTTTTTTGTGAAAAATAGATCTGTTTTTTATCAAAAATGTGTTCCTGTGTGAGAAGTTCTCTATAGCGATTTTGTGCTTAATTCTAAAGAAATAAATATGATATTTTACAGTTTTTTTAGAGGTCACTTATTTTGCATTGTTTTAAACAAGTTTCTCTTTGTTTTTAATGCATCAAATGCTTTATTGTATCTACATACAGTGAAGCACTAAATGCATTAAAAGCCTATGCATCATTAATGCTTTCCTCCTTGTACTGTAGTAAATAAAACCTAACCCTAGTATTGGCATCAAAATAGCTCAATAATGGGTCTACAGAAGATTTTCAACAATTCTTAATACAATAAAACTTTATAATTTATGGAATTATTACTCTGTAAAGTCAATTTTGGTTAATCAATTTTTTGGATAATCAAGGCTCTGCTGTTCTATGAACCTTATAACTTATAACTTCATAATTAACTACTAAGAATTAAATACCTGGCATCCAACTGTAAAACATTTGATTTATCACAATATACATTATATTTTTCTTTCAAACTCTTGCAGACATACTGAAAAATAATAATAATTTCAATAAAACTTATTATTAATTAATTAAATATAATTAATGTCAACTAAAGTAATTTTTTAAAAAATTTATTATATACCTCAATAAAAATATTGACCATTTCTGATCCATCTTTTCCAGGATTAATTGTTTTATTGAATTCTAAATCAAAATATAATTTACATGGAGAATCTGAAAATTAATTAAAAATTCTAATATGTCAATCCATAATCTCATACACAATCATGGTATAATTAATTCATTCAAAAACTTTCCTTTACAAATTAATCTAATTAAAATTAATGTCTTATTGTCATTTATAATTAATGGCATCATATTTTCAGCAAATTTTTTAAGATTTGACATTATGAGTGAAAATAAAATAATCTAAAACTATTATTATTATTATTGACAAGACTACATCTTGTTTATAAAATCGCAGTGCCTTTACAGCTTCACACCTTAGAGGTATGAAGGAGTACATATCAGGAGTTGATATTTGGCACAGAGTATTTGGTGCCCAAATCATGTAAACACAAAAAAACCAGACTTGCAGGTAGTCAGGACCAAGAACTGAGTCAAAATAAAATATAAAATGGTGACATCTTTTTAAAAACAGGTACTAGTGTGAGATTTGTGCATGCGTTGCTTGTTGAGAAGTTGGATTTTTGCAGATGTTGCAAAATCAAATTTTGATAAATGAATTTGAAAAAACCCATTTACCTGTCCTGTGTTATTCCTGACATATCTCTGGTCATGACCTGCTGACCTTGACCAGTTGACCTGAGATATCTCATTTCAGCATCGGAACATTTTTGAAACTAGACAGCACTAATCATTATAATTTTGTATTAAAACTAACTTCCGAAATATAATTTTTTTTGTTTTTTTTTACATTTATTAATATATTTATTTTGTTTGTGCAAAATAAAAAAATAACTTTGGACAATACAATAGCCATAATTAATTTTTCAAAAAAACGGGAAATTTTTGTTATGCATTGACAAAAATTCAACCCAGGGCAATATGCAATGGAGAGAAATTTAGACATTGGATAGGTTAATTTCACCAAAAATACATCGTGGATGACCTTGTGGTCATGGCTGTGATCAGCGAAGTTTGAACAATCACACTCAAAACCAATGATACCAAAGAACATTGGAGAATGAGAACGAGACCCATTGTAAGCATGAAGTGATCCCGCTTAATAGTGAGTCTCTGAGACATAGTTTTGTCCCAAAAATGGCCTTGCCATTTCACTTTTTATTATTATTTACTAATCATATGATTAGTAGTTAAGATGCCCCTGTACCAAATGATAAAGCTATTAAGAAAGCCAGGAAAGAATAGAAGAATGTTTATGCTGGAGATAAGAAGAGAAGGAAAGTTTCAGTATTTATATCTACAAAGTTTTAAAGCAAGTTTATCCTGATACTGGAATTTCTAGCAAAGCTATGTCTATAATGAATAGTTTTGTCAATGATATCTTTGAAAGAATTGCTACAGAATCTTCTTGACTCGCATATTATTTTCTACAAGTCCTAATGATATTCAATATCTAATCATTTTTATTTTATATTATGATGTTAAATTTAAATTAAATAAAAATTATTATTTGTAATATTACCTTTTACAATTACTTCATATGTACATCTTTCTTCTACTGGTCTCTTTCTATATTACATTGTAAATAACATTTATCAGATTAATAGTAATGTAATAATAATAAGTTATTTTATGTCAGAGATTAATTTAAATTAAATAATTCTTTAAAATAGAAATATATAATCAACAAAAATACAAAAATATATATTATTAATAGTTTCTGATTACTTTAAATTCTTTTATCAGAGACAGTTATAAATACAATATTGTTTTTAATGTGCAGCATAAAATTATATTGTAATAGATAAAGAAAATAGAATGCCAAGAAATATATTTAAAACAAAAGATTATTTTTTATTTATTTATTTTTAGCTATTTCTAATTTACTACTTTGCTGGAATCAAACTAAAGGAATTGTTGTCTTAAGATACAGTAAAAACTTATTTAATATATTTACATAAAGAAGTTCATTTCAATAAATAATAAGTTCAATTTACTTGATAATATTGTCATTTTAAAAAACAGAAATGAATATTTTGAACATATTATTTATTATGACATGTTTTCAAATAAAATTCTTAAAGATAATATACTGGAGTAAAGCTAATACTTTTTATAGCTATACAAGAATATAGCTATAAAATTAGAAGTTTCATCCAATAATAATAATTATTATTATTATTATTTATGTTCATGCTGTACATAAATGATATTATACAGGGTGCATAGGAAAGTCCCTTTAACCGGAAAATTCTTGCGAATGGAGAGAGCTACAGCTATGCAAGTGAGGTAATGGTATAGTAAAGTGATCTAATGATCTTTGATCTCTGTTTAGAAATTGATTTAACCCCTTTTGCAACATTAGCAGATTTAATAATGTCTATTTTTCATGACTGTCGATATCGTCTTTCTCGGAATACGGTATGCAACAGTTAAAATCTCAAACATACGTGTCACCTTCATATTTCTCAACAATCTCTTTTTTCAGTTCCATTGTGATTCTAGTCATTTTTTTAGTTTTCTGTTGCTTCTCATTTGCCTTTTTGCAATTCATGATTAATAAAAATAATAAAATTTTACTTACAAATTAAAATCAGAATAAATTTAACAAAGTTATAAACTGTGGCACCGTGAACATCTAGTCTGGTCTAGTACACCGATAGTGCTACTTGTTCATAGATGGCACGTATAATTGAATTAAGTTGTATACCGAGCAAAATTTGTTTTGTCCAAACAGGATGTATTCCGAATTGGACGTATTCTAAAGCAGACATATACCGAGGTACCACTGTACTAGATATTGTGCAACTTTGTCATATTACAATAGAATTGAGGCAGAGCCAAAAATAAAAAAAAAAGAAACTATCCCTGCACTTGTTAGGCACAGAAGAGGTAATCTTTGCACTTATTGACATGGAGAGGTTATCAAAGAACAAAGCAGTCCTCATCAGTTGAATTTTTTCTTGTGTTTTGTTCATTTTTTGCACCTATTTTCCATTAGGTGCACACAATGCTGTTTTTATTTTTGACCTCTAGGCCTAAATTCTGTTAGGCACACTCAGTAGCATCAGAGAGGACGGACATTGTCAGTTTAACTCCTCTGCATATCAAAAATCCCCAATCCCTATTTTTTACATTTAAACGGACCCTCATTACATTTTTGTATTCCTTGTCTCAAATAATGGAAAATGGTGGCAAAATTTTATCAACATTGGCCCATTAAATTTTGAGAACTCAACTCTATAGTGAAGTCCATAGAAGACGCACTAGCGACCATGAAACATTACACAACAAAGTTGCATGATTTTGCTTTGTTATGTGCACTCATAAAACAACCTTATATCTTAAAAAATGAAGTCATAAACCCCTTTTTATTGAATTTTTGGATTCCTCTTCACAATTAATGGGAACTGGCAAAGTTTAATCAAAATCAATTGAACAGATTTTTAGAACAAACACAATTCTGTAAGCCTCATAGAAGAGGCTTCACTAATGCTCCATCTCAATTATCTGGTTCCAATGTTTATATTTTTGAAATAATAAAACAATCTTTACTCGAACACTATAGATGAAAATGATCAAATGAGACTTTTATAAATAACTGCAATCATTGCATTCATTTATTTCCATATCTTTATTTAATATTTGCTTGATGTTTGTGTGAGGTCCAGGACAAAAATCAAAATTTAGTATTAGTGATGACAAATATCCAGTGGGTCAGAGTTTGGTAAAGAGTTCTTCACAAGGCCAGATTAATTCACTTTAGGGCCCTAGACACTTTCTTTTTACCGGGCCCCCTCCCTCTCCCACAAGAAATAGAGCACACAAAAAATATAAAACAATAAATAAAACAAAACTAAATAATGTGAAAAACTAAAACAAATCTTAATTTTTTATTAATAAAAAATATTTAATCATTGTAAAAAAGATAAAAAATGTAAATTATCGGAAGAATCTTATTTACAAATCTTTTCAAAATAGACAGTTTGACCGGGATCTTCTAAAAACCGGGCCCTAGACATTTGTCTCATTTGTC